ATGATTTAGTGTAAATCTAAAAAAATTTCTAAAATGAAAGGGGTTGAAAAACAGCTTTTTTACATCGATTATCCTACACTCGTATTAAAAATAGTTATTTGTGTAACTGATGTGCACAACTTCGACGTCAAAGTAGAGTTTCTGCTTCAAAGCTTCCACTTCTTTACAAACTTTTCTTTGACATTCACTTAGTAATCCAAATTGAACTCACGATCGTCGAATGCGAAGGACGCCTTGTGCTTATAAGCTGTAAACAGTGCAACTTGACACCACGAATCATCATCAAAGTAGAGTTTCTACTTCAAAACTTCTCCTCTTCACAGACTTTTAGTTTCTTGACGTTTACTTAGTAATATCCAAACTGAGCTCACAATCGCTGAATTCGGACAGAACGCCCTTGGCGTAAGCACTCCGTGTTCGCGAAACTCACCGGATTCTTAACAAACGTTGAAGTTTCTTTGATGTTCACACAGTAATATGTGGTACCGGTACCAAATATCCAAACTGAGCTCACGAAATCGCCGAATTTGGACTTCAGGATGCCTTTGGCGTAAACAGTGTCCGCGTTCGCCAGAACAGGTAGAGGGAAGAGTTTTCTCCGTATGTAAATGCCGAACGTGAGTGCTCGGAGCCTGTGCCAAGGCCAGCGACGGAATGTCGGGTGACCTGCGGTAATTGGACCATCAGATGGAGTAGAAGGTGGAGTAGCAGTAGAGCGTCCTCCCGCGGTCTGTCTGGCAATCTACTCCATTCACCACAGCCACCGTGATCGCCGATCTGTAGCAATTGTACTGGCGTATCGAGCAAAAACTACTAATGCCTGTGGTATAACATATTCATGGGTACAGTAACTTTATAATTCAGCCTAGCACATAATGTTTAGGCAATCAAAGTTCCTCTTCTGTGATGAACCCCATATTTATTGTCTGTAATTAAACGATTGATGAGATAATTTTAATTTGTTTGACTGTTATTTCTGAATGAACGAGGTAGACTCATCAAAATGGCAAATGAAACAAATTAGACGACTTAAGATTACAAAATGACAACTTCGTAATCAAGTGATAACAATTAATTTGATTTAGCTGAGATATAATAAACATGACTTATGGATAGATTTGACTTATCACACCTTGGTAACAATAGCTATTTACCTTACAAGTGTAGTAATAGCGTTTTTACATCACGCAGGTGAATGTTGTGCAACTCGCGTAATTCACCTAAGTGAAGTCTTGCGTAACGTGTAACCATAGATAAAAGGAGTAGACAGGTGTTTATAACTTCACCTGAGTAGGGGTTGTCTATACTCCTTTTATCCATGGTGTGGTGTAACGTACAAGATTTTACCTGACCCGACAATATGCAAGGGGTTACTTACAATATTTTTCATTATCCATTTCACTCATCTTCTAACAGTAACGTTCTTCTACAAACAAAAGCTAGGTTAGGAAAATACTTTAAAGCATAACAATAACATTCAAGCGCACAGCTGATTTCTAGCGTTGAATGTCGTTGGCTCCATAGAGGTATATTTTTTTATCCTAAGCACTAAATGTTATTTAAATGGGTTTCATTACCTCACCGAGTGAGTTTTTTAACTTTACATCACTCGTGAAGTAAAGAAGTTGTATACATCACGCTTGGGATAGGGAAGTTTAACATGGCGGGTTAGGTAAAAACTCCTACTCGAACAGTTGCAAACTGAGATACGAATGACAAATCGATACAGAATGTTGTTATGCGCCAGTGTGAGTGTTGTAAGCTGTGATAATCTTGTTGGGGCCCGGCCTCTGTTGGGCTTCCCTAGTCCGGTACACTGTGCTGGAGACCGGGTTATGTCAATTCGGAGTTAATTTGTAAACAGAAACATCTTTCGATTGTTGTTAAAGTATAATGTGACTGGATAAGTTTGACAGAATCTTCGTGATTTGCAAAGGTTAATGTTAAACTATCTAATAAAATAAGCTAAACATGTTTGTTGGTTTTCATGGAGAAGGGATAACAAATTTTAAACGATTAGCACCTAATTTGTCATCGAACCTTAAAAACGGGTTTTGCTTCGCTTATTGAAAAATGCAATCATTGGGAATCTACAAAAGTAGAAAGTACGTTTATATCTACAAACTTCTTGCAGTATTCGCTGTGTACGAGGGTACCTTCCCCGAGTGTCCTCTTCAGTGACAGGCAATCAATAACATGGTCATGATTCATGAAATTAAGAAATTTGATACTACAATGTAGCCTTTAGTGAAGGTTAGATACAAACAAATCTTTCGCGTCTAATTTGGTATCAACTGTACCACTGTACCACAATAAACATAAGGGTGAAACTTGGGGCATTTCATTGTAAAATATTTATGACCCAAAATCCCTAGGATCAAATTCCACCATAACCTCAAAATCGACCTATTCTTCTGCACCAAAAACTAAACATTGCGGAGTTTATACCGCGCTGCCTGTGGCAGGAGCGGTCCAGGAATGCAGCCGAGCCCTGTGTTTTGTGGGGGGAGGTGAGGGGGGACGACCTTGTGCTCTCGCTGTAGTCAACGTTGAAACCAAGAGCTGTGGCCCGCCGCCTCACGCCACTACATACTATTGGCAACTATGTAGTTGTACCCGTTGTGTTGACTTTTCTATATAAAGGTAAACCCATAACTTCAGAGGACATGGTCCTAGAACAGCCCCGTCCAGTGGGGTTTCGGTTCCCTGGACTGACACATCACAACTCACAAAAATACAAAATCAACCTCCCATCAAAACAAACTTTGTCCACTTGTGTTTTAAATTCAAATTTAAGTGAGTATTAAGCTGCTAATTATTGTTTTACTTCAGTTTTGCTACTACGGTGTGTTATGTGAGATTGGAAAGGATGCTATCTAGCCTACGATAATTTGGCCATAGTTTCTATAGAACTTAACGTCTACGAAATAATCGGTAAATGGCATCAGCGCCTTCATGCAAAGGACCCCAGTCGCGTTTGCGCTCCTCGCATTCCTTTGACATTCTCTTAAGTTTGGAAACCTTTTTGTTGAATAGCTATGTTAGTGATAATAAACAGTGAATACTCTATTGTAAGATAAATAACCAATAACACCAAACAAACCCAACCCAAGGTACCGTAACTAATACAGTTGAGATTACGATTTTACTTACCCAATGAATAAAACAACTTAGGGCCTACAAAACCCCTACCCCACCCCCCCTTCTTGATGAGCAGAGTATATCTAGTGAATTACCAGTAGGCTAGCTTTTATTGTTCTAAAAAGTGAAGTGGTTATATTATCAATAGATAGCTTACATTGTTAACATTTGAATATTTAAAACAAGATTTTTCACGATTACAACGCATTGAACGTTTTAAGAAGTGTGTAGGGTACCGATTTTCTACAAAACACCCATCGACCTTAACAACAAATAATTCCGACATTGCCTTAATGTAGGAATAAGAGTAAGCCTATTGCATTTTGGGAATTTGATCAACTATTTACCTAACTAAAACTAACGCGGAAATGTATGAGAAATGTTTTAAAACCGAAAAACAATACGCTAAGTAGTCAAAGCAAATTACATGTCAATATCAGTATTTTCCCTTAATGAAAAGGATATATTGGAGAATATACACACAACGGTAATCCGATGAAGGAAGATTAGGTTTACTGATAACATAGAGGGAGGTGCAACAGTTCATCTTAATTAAAGAAACTGCATTTGTGATAAACAGCACGAGTTATTTTAATAATTTTAACATAACTTACATCTGCATTCACTTTTCAAAATGTAGTTTTTGTACACCAACACTTAAATGAAAATATTAAATTATCAACAGAGCATTTTTTTGTCGATCCCCGAATCTTTCTTCACATTCCACGTAGATCATCCCGCATATCAACATGTTTGCGTCAGCTGGTTTCTACACAAAACGGAAGTGTTGATAAACATGATTGTAAGGCGTGTCAAACGTTTCCGGAATCTACACGACTATCACAAGTCAATAACATGTCAAAGTGATTGACGAGAGTTGGACGGACGAGTTTGATGTTCTAGCCCCAATGGTTCTGGGGTTGATGACCCAAAGAAACTAGTTTCAAGAACTGTAAATCCAACCAGTTAACAATTTTGGGACGGATATGTTACCAGTAACAGTAACGTCTATAGTCACTAATAGTGTATGGTACCTATAACTTACTGTATTGTACAGTAAACATCTTAGGAATATACAAAATCTCTAGATCTATGTCATTCTGGTAAATCAGGTGAAGCAAATCTTTCCATAGAGCTGGACAAGAGAGCAGTTAATTATAGGTTCTTGTCTTGTTAGCAGAAAGCTTAATAATTATGAGCTGCTGTGGTATTTCATACAAATTATGCTAGGTATAAGGTCTAGTAAGGAAATTCAAATATTTATTCGCCATGCCTTATTAAATAGGTCTTATACAATAAAAATAATAATCATTGAATGTAGCATTACAGTGGAATTCCAAAGTAAAAATGTTTTTAATAAGGTTATGAAGTTATCCTAGGCTCACGTTTGTTAAGTAATATTCCATTACCTTAACATTAGTTTTCTCAAGTTTTTTCTATAAATTTAGAGGCTTTGTTTATCGTTGGATATATTCATAATTTTACTAGGAAAACAAGAAATTTTAAAATAACTTGAAAAAGTACCTAAACCCTAATTTTTAGCCAAGGTTAGTCTTGTCCTTTGGGTGTAAATAAATTAAAGATTTTACCATTTAAACATTTTTAGCATAGCTTTGATTTAAATAAGTCACTGTTATTGAATTTAGAACACACGCCGTTCTTTCATAGTTAAGATGGGAAGGCGAAAGACCGGGTTTAACTACATTTTAACACCCAAGCTAGGTAGTTCAAATACCGCTGTAGGCCTACTTCTCTCATATTGTTTAAGCCATCCAAACTTAATCCTGGCTTAAAACTTACAACCTGTAACTTAACACTATGATTAGCTTCAGCGGTAGGCCTAAGAATTTGAAACTTACCTTTACCAATTGAAATTATCCTTTGCCGCGCGTTGACAAGTATCCACTTTCACACAAACACTATCACGAAACAACACAAATTGCGACGCAGAGATTAATAAGGCGAAATAATCACGAAGTATACTACTAAATTCGCGAGAACTTCACCGATCAACATCAACAAGTAGTTGCGCTTCAACTTTGCTGTCGTGTCGTGTCCTACCTGGTGAATGTACATAACTGTACTGCCGCCATTTTGCTAACAGGATCTTGTTGCGCGGCAGAGCGATCTAGAAGAGGTAGCTGGAACTACTTCGAAATCATGGCGGCACAACACAAACCGGTTTCTTGGTTTTGAATTTGGAAACCAAAAACCATGTTTGGGAAATTAAATAATTAACTTTGAACCATCAATTACCAAAGAATAATATTTCCAAACAGATCAATTAGTATTCATAATACAACTATTATTATTCCTTTTATTTAAGAGAAAACATTTTTTATGGAAGTAGGCCTAGTATACTACACGTTATTTTTATGATTTGAAACCTTATATTTTTAGTGGAAAAATTTTGAAACTATTGTTTTATTTACAAATGTACGCATATCTACCAATCCATCCATACACTCTCACCTTGCATCAAATGCGATTTTTTTATGTTTACAAAAAGTATACTCGTTCTAAGTTAATAAAGTGGTTTAAATGGTTTAAAACTATGACTCATATATATCTTCGTCTTCATGAATCGAAATGAGAGAACCAAAAAGCTAAAAGGATAAAACTATTTGTATACATTGTGATATCTCGTTCAGTAAAAACATAATCGGAGATAAAACCCATATATAGTTTACATGTTATGTGTCTGCGAAATTGACTTTGAATAATGAATAAAAATGTAGGTATGTTATTTGAATAGAATAGATTATATGTGTGCGTCCTCTAAAATCTGATAAAAATGTCATTGCTCAAAATGATTGTTCATTAAAACTTACAATTGTACAATTAATTGTAAATTATTAGCTGTTTGCCGAAGTAATAATCGTAAATAATATATAATATGAATTCGAACGGATGGTGTTCTTTGGTTCTAGGGACCTCGAAACGAAAAATTAAATCGGTCCCGGGTCGAGGTCTTACCATGAGTACTACGGCAATAGCTTATTCCCTATATGGGAAATTCGCTAAAAACAAATCTCTACTTCATTACATAGAACGAATAAAATTTGAACTGTCCGTAAATAAATTATACAGTCCGTTATTCTCATCAGGCAGAAAAAACCCCAATTTAAGTAGGAACACTAAAATAAACCAAAACATGAAACGAACCATTCAGGCGCAGTGTTGGGGAAGCTACTTTTTAAATGTAGCTAGCTACAACTACTGCTACATTTCCAAAAAAGTAGCTTAGCTACAGCTACAGCTACAGTTCCGAAAAAGTAGTTAGCTACAACTACAGCTACAATGAAATGTAGCTACAGCTACAATTTTAGCTACTTTCCCAAAGACGTTACTTTTTATTCCACGCACATTAGGTAAATGTAAAATTAATTGCAACAACATTGTTATTGAACAAACATTTAAACAAGAAATGTCAGGATTGTATCCAACATTACTTGGAAAACAAATTATTCCTAGATTTTATTTAATTTGTTGGCATTATAAACCTAACATTACAACAACAGCATCAAATAGTTGGGTGTCCCATCATATTTAGTACTTATTTTTAAATATTGCATTATTTTTAAGCATCTTACATGTAAATTTCATTAAGTTTAAAGGACATAGGCTACAACCAAACTATATTTTAAAAGCTCATTTTATTTCTTTAATATAGATGTCTTATATCAACAATTAAGACCACTTAAACTGTAAAACGATTATTTAAAAATACTTTTTTGTGTTACAGAGCCTAGCCTATTGAAATTGGAGTTTATTGCCTTTCTTTACTTTTTATGTTTAAAACGACATTGCTATAACTTTTAACCATATTGATAAGTTACTTGTTCTATGAATAACACTTTTCAATGTCAAGAAATCGTCCTTTATTGTCATTATGCACAGGGCAAATTGAGCTTCAACCTAGTTGGTACAGAAAACAGTATTCAGCAACTTATCCTGAAATCGGCTTTTAATTTAAACATGTTGAAATTTGTAAAGTAAAAATAACATGTAGGCCTATTTGGCTATGTAACAAGCTGGCTATAGTAGCTTTGTTCTTGTAAGGACTAAACAGATATATTCCTAATAATTGAACTTGGTATTCGTCTTAAACCATAGCATAGCCTAGGAATAGTCCTATACAAGAGCTGTTAGCAGGAGCAAACTATGCTATTTTTTTATGTAAGTTTCATGTTACATGGAGATTTTTTCGTTACAATTATCATGTAGTCTAGGCATATCTTAAATCTCATCAGGTAATTTCCTCTTTCTTAATTTATTTAGTAAACCTTTGAAAAATCTTTGTAATCTAACCAAGGAAGGGTTTGTGACGATGAACCACAATCAACAGCTGAAGCAAAGGTTGATAGACCAGCTTTCTCATTATTTTAAGGTTTAGAGTTGGTTTCCATTAAAACCCTAGTTAAAACACTATAAATATAACAAAGAAACTACATTGATTACTAATTTTCCCTGTCAATCACTTGCAAGCATTCAATAGCTTGTCTTGTCATTGGTACCGGTAACGTTTAAACGTCGTCTGCATCTAGCGATTTTATTTTATCTGACAGTAATCATAGAGTAGTAAATTAAGGAAATGAGAGCTAAAAATGTGGATAACACTCATTTAATGGCCTCCATGTCCACACAACGTTGTAATAGGGAATGAAACGGCTGCAACCAGCTGTATAAAGCCAATAAAGTAGGCCTAATTGTTTTGAAAATCTCAGTTTGAAAGATGTTGTTTCACGTAAGGTTGATGTTATGGCAAAAATCACTATCTCAAACAATGTTAATGTAGCGAGAAAAGTAGCTAAAATTCCGCTACAACTACTTTAAAAATGTAGCTAGCTACAGCTAAAGCTACAAAATCTTAAAAGTAGCGACGCTACAGCTAACGCTACAAAAAAAGTAGCGCGCTACTGTAGCGTCGCTACTTGTAGCGCGCTACTTCCCAACACTGTTCAGGCGTACAATAAACTTGACCTGCAAATGTTAAATGTTATAGAGAAACAATTACGACCTCTTTGTTTTACAAGTACTGTAAAGCCTAAATAAACCAAGAGCGTTCAAAAAGATAAAAAGATAATATTGAGAAAAACCAATGGTTTTATATAAGTGGTCGTCCATATATCACGTAACGCTTAAAAGGAAAGGAGGGGTTCGGTTAGCGTTACACAGCCAGTTGAGGGGAGGGGGTTTTCAAAGTCGTAGAATATTTTGGCAGGTGTAACGGGAACGCATTAAAAATCTACGAGTAATGTCCAGTGGTCGAAACTCGACCAAAAATATGTAATGTACTCACTTATGTTAATGTTTCACCCCACACTGTAAATAAAACATGTGATTGGAGTTTCTTCCATTTGTTTTGATTTTCTGTTTATATTTCGTTGTTATTTCGTCACCAGCATGGCAACGCATAAGATCCATGTAAATTTTTTCAAATTTTTAAACTCATTTTTTGCGCTTATCTTTGAGCCTATTTAAATTTATAAAGGGATTCTGCACACCTACAGGAAAATAGCTTTCTAACGGTATGCGTAGATTTTCCCTACGATGCACACGAGCTGAGAAAAAAGGTTTTAAAGAAACATGCTTGCCTATTAATATATAGATAGATTTTTTTCCAATGTACCAGATGATAAATTTATTTATTTAAAAAACAGTCTTTTTGGAAAAATATTGTAATACATTGTAAATATTGTGTACATTAATTGTTTATTTTTGTACACCGGGGCCGGGGCTTAACGCTCCTAATTAATGGAAAAGAATTGCAAGATATGGCCACCATTACTGAAATCTTTAAATGAAACATGAATCCAACTTTTAGATGCTATGAAACTTGAACTTAAAATTTTGAACAAGACATTCTAATTTAAAGTTTCTAACTAGCATCATGCTAGCATTTTGAAAAAGCCCGGGAAAATTGTACTGAAATGGTGTGGCTACATGGACAGTTAAACCAAGCCAGCTTTACTAAAGCAAACTAGAATAGAAGAAGAAGAATATTGTGTTTCTGTGTGTGTTGTGTGCAGTGCAGTGTCTGTCAGTGACAACTAAGAGGCTAGGAAAGGAAAACATCAACATTTAATTATATAAAGTTACTAGCAGGCTAAACTCAATATCGTGAAGGATTTTCAAACAGTTAACTTATATTTAATTTTAGGTCAAAATGATGATGATGAATCCAAATCCGTTACCTGCTGTTCCAGCAGGCATTCAGAGTACGGCGGGAGCAGTTCCAGTTAAAAATGAAAAAGGTTTGCACACAAGTTAAAATTTACTTTTTGTCTGTTTTAAATTACTTTATGAGAGGGGCTTATTTAAACTTATGGCTTAGCAATAATAATAATATTCCTGAGTAATGATATTGACTATTTAACTTAGGCCTTCCTCTTAGTGAGGTTAGACTTTTAGTTGAAGAAGACCTAGGTAGCCCAATAGCTCTTTATTTCAGCTTAGGCCCGGTTCACACGAACGACATACCTAGCAGACTAGGCTTGGACTAGGTAAGCACGACTGGGTAGCGGACCTCAGGATCACACCGGTTCACACGAGCGACATGTCCACGGACTAGGTAAAAATATCGAGATTAAAACCACTCGGTTCCATCATTGGTGCACAATGAGAACAAAGGTAAGAATGCGAGCTGCAGCTCGACTACCCGATCGCTCGTGTGAACGCTCCCATAAGGCTACATGTACTGCTACGCAGTTCGACTGGGCGACTGGGTAGTTGCCACGACGGACTGGGAAGCGGGGCCCGACTAGGTTTTGGGACATCAAGCTTGAACACGACTAGCTAGTCGGCATCCTAGGCTCGTGTGAACGGCTCCATTTGATCCTGTGGTCCGCTACCCAGTCGTGCTTACCTAGTGCTTACCTAGTCCAAGCCTAGTCTGCTAGGTTTGTCGTTCGTGTGAACCGGGCCTTAGTCTTTTAAAGAAATAGAAGCCCATACCTTGGCGTACAACCATTACAGTACTATGATCTAGAGCACCATTAGCCTAGCGGACTGCACTTTACTTAGGTCCTACACAAACAACCGAATGAAAATATCGATTATTAGATTGTTTCATTCGATATATCGATCATTCGAATGAGTGTAGGACCTAAAGTAAAGTGCAGCCTCCTAGCGTACTGTGGCAGATGTGTTAGTTTGGATCCTATTGTTGTAATAACACTTTGCCTAGGAACTTCGGCTTAAAATTCCTATTATTTTTTCACCTAAAGGGGTTTCAAATAATGCTTTCAAGTTATCTGTCAAAGTTTTGTATTTACTACACGAGATTCAAGAGAGCCAAGGCCTATCTCAAGTTGTAATTTTTCACGACGTTCCCTAAGAATGAGTTGAGGTTAAGATACTGTACTAAAATGGCGTTAATTGGATACCTAACCTTGGGAGAGGGAGTTAAGTAGTACCGTAGACAAATTTTATCTAAGCTACATGGGGCATTAATAGGAAAACTTACAATTTAAAGTTTTCAGCTGTCCATGGATCAATAGAGTAAGAAAAGTGAGTGAAATTTTGTTAGGGTTTGGGTATTGTTTAAAAAAACACATTCAACAAAAATGTATCAAAATAATCTTTAGTGAAAGAAGTTAAAAGGCCATTGAGCTATTTTATACAGTAGGCCTAGCCTATGGATTGCATAACTAAACAGCAGCAGGTGCTCACCAACTGATTACCAGTCCTTCTTGTGATTCGAAGGTCTAACTTTGTACTTAAACACTTTTAGGTGAGCTGTCTATGCAAAAAGTCAAAGTCCACCGGTATGTATCGGGAAAGAGGCCAGAGTATGCTCCGGTTTCCAGCAGTGAAGAAGAGTCGGAAGAAGAAGATTTTGTTGAGAAGAAAGCAATTGCTGCATCCTCAGGAGCCCCTGTTGCAAGGGAAGGGAGAGTGAGACCACCTAGTGATGATGAAGACCTGATTGATGATCCGAGGCTTCGGCGCCTGAAGGGTAGAAGAGCCGAAGACAGCAGAGCTGATAGTGATGATGAATCCAAAATTGAAAGACACAGGTACGTACTTTACATTACTCGGTTGTCTGTTTTATCACGAACATTATTTAAAAGAATCACAGGTTGAAGACTGTAAGAAGAAATTGTATCTTAGAGACTAACTTGTTTCCATTTTTAAGTCATCGATCAAAATGAGCCATATTTTGTGATATAGATTGAAGAACTTTGTTTTGCCTTAGTTATTGAAAAATTACTGGCCTAGTAGCCTATAATTTTTTTGCTTTTGTGAGTAAATGAAGATCGATAAAAATATCACCAAGTTACCGGTAAGTCAAAGTTTCAAAAAGGATTCTAAATTAGGCCTAATACAGGCTACATGTATACTTTTAAGTAAAGGTTAATGAATCATCTATCCGTTTCTTGACTTTCCCAGACACATTCACGAGCCAGAAGTTCTTGACGATGACGATGATTCTGATGATGAAAGAGCTAGAAGAAGAAGAGGAATAGAAAGCAGTGAAGAGGAGGAGGAAGAGGATGACCTGAGTGATGAGGAAATAGAGAGAAGACGACAAATGTTAAGACAAAAAGTTTTAGAGAGAAAAGAAGAACAAGTGAGTTTGCTTTTTTCTTTTAGCTAATTTATTAATTGAATTTAACATTATTTGCAACCAAGTTTTACTTCCTTACTCATGAACTTTTGCAGTTAATCACTTAAAAAAACGAGGTTGAAAACTTATTTTTATGTCATGGTGCTTAGTGGCCCAGGATCACTTGTGGATAAATATGGTTTAATGGCGACCAGTTTTGACATTAAAATATCTTCATCAGGCTTCTTCAAATGTCGTATCCCTCACGTTAAGGTTGTTGGCAAACACAAACATAAAAACCTCTTTTAAATCCATCATTATCACAGCGATTAGAACAATAATAACACTACCGTTCCATTGATAACGCCAGAGAGGGACCCTCAGTCATGACCTATGTATGTTGTAGTGCCCTACATTAGCTTGTAGACTATATATTCTTACCGTAATGCTGGGTCGCCGGAAGACTGCCCCCCGGAAAACTACCCTCCCAAGCAGGTTCCTACGTCATATTGACGTCAGAGACCGGGGGGGGGGGCAGTTTTCCAGTCACGGACACTCAAATTTAGTTGTCAAACAGTTTTAATCTAACCTAACCCAACCAACCAAACTTGCTGTAACATTTCGAAAATCTGTTTTATATTCACCACATGCCTTTTCTATTATCCAACGGAATTACTTGAATTAAAATTAAAATTACATACCATGATTTGTCTAGGGGGGGGGGGTAGTATTCCAGTCGTGGACACGGCTTCCATATTGGTTAGTTAGCAGATTTTGTGTCGTCACGTTTCACCTGAGGGGGTAGTTTTCCGGGGGATAGAATTCCGCATCCCCGTAATGCTCTTCCGTGTTAATCACGATACCACATAAAACTATGTTTTGTTGGTTTAACTTTAACTATTCCATCACTACCGTTACAAAAAAATCACACAGGTCCTCACAGTAAAATGACCCAGTAATCCTTTTGACTATATTTCGGCCTTTGGGGGATTTTTTTTCACAACATCAATTTTAAACTCTGTAACATGGAAATTTGAACAACATTGCAAGTCCCGAATGTGCTGGAGTAATGAAAATGAAAATCTATTGTAACAGTGTTAGGATCATTAGTTTATAACTTAATATTTTTTCCAGGAAATGGAAATTTTGGACAAAGAAGAAGAAGGTCACTCAGCAGAAGAGAGTGCTGAAGAGTCGTCAGAATACGAAGAATACTCAGGTCAGCATCTCTATGGTGGAATCTTCTAAGACTAGTATTTAGTAGAAATAATTTTTTTTCTTAATTTCTTTTTTAATTTGAATAGTAGCCTAATTATTTAACATTGTCACATTGATAACTTGCATATTCTACATTCAACTTGGTCCTGGTTGATGTAACATGTGTATAATACATTCCATAACTGGTATGACTCCATGATATAGAAATGTCAGAACTAAAATAAACGTAAAGGGTACCGTAATGGATTTATTTTATTGTATATGTCAATTGATTTTCATGGTAGTGAACAGAGTTTTTATTTAAAATACGGTACTTTGGTATTATACCGACCACAATATTATTTATTTTGGAATAGGGATGGACGAGATTGGATTTTTAGTTCGAGACGAGACGAGACGAGATTTTTTATTTCTCATAAAATTTCGAGACGAGATCGAGACGGGATTTCCCTTCTCATACACAACGGGAAATGCACGTTCAAAATTTTTACCTGATTTTGTAACATTGTTAGATGACTGTTTAAATACAAAAATAATGATAATAGGCAAGAATATTTACAATGTTTTATTAAAAAACATCAGCATAACATTTTTTTATTAATCACGCCTAACTTATTAAAAATGCCTACGATTAGGAAACATAGTGATATCAGTTAGGATAGAGTTCAACTTATCCTAAAATAAAATAAATCATAAAATAAAAGCAATATTAATTTTTATAAAATAGTTACTTGTTTTGACTTTTTATAGTATTAAAACATTTCTCACACTGCTTACACTTTACAAAACTTCTCAAATGTTATTAAAGTAATATTTACATTTAAAGAATTAATTAAATAAGAACGCCTTCACAAAGGAAACGCAACTACAACACGCTCCTGTATTGCGGGTATTGCATTAACTTTCTGAAGGCGTTTTTAATTTTTTTTTTATTTTTTTTTTATTCCCGTCTCAGTAAAAATCTCGGCCAAAAAGAAATCTCGTCTCGAGTAACGAGATTTAAAATTTCCCGAAAATTTCCCGAAATTTCGAGACTTGACTATCCCTATTTTGGAATAGCCATAACAATTGTATTAACTTTACAGACTCTGAAGAAGAGACAGGTCCAAGGCTTAAACCTGTGTTTGTACGAAAAAGAGACAGAGTTACAGTAATTGAAAAAGAGAAAGAGAAAGAAAAACAGAGACTAGCAGAAGCTGAAGCAAAGAAAATGGCTGAAGAAAGGAGACGATATACTCTGAAGGTTTGTTTGGATGCAAGACTAGGTAGAACATTATCAAGTAGATACCTAAACTATTAGCCTACTTCAAATCATTCTATTTAAAAATCTTAACCGTTTCTTTAGACACACCGTACAGTAGTCTTCAGGACGAATGATCCATTTTATAAAGTTTTAGATTAAATAATCCTACCACATAGTTGTGTAAAATATATTTAATTTCTTTGGATCAGCTGTCTGAAATTGTGAGATGAGCGTTTAGCAGTTTCTTCTTGTTTACATTGAAATGTCAAAGCAAAGATAAACATAATGAATTTTCTCACTCTTCCATGGAGACCAATCAACATCTACTTTTGAAAACCTCATCTCAAAACTTTAAACTTCCATGGGGCGAAGCCCGAGTGGAACTCAAGGAAGTGAATAGGCCTATGACGTTCCTAGATATATGGTCTTTGTGGTTAATTTTGGCTATACAGGGTTAGTAAAAAGTGTGGAGACCCCCTGTTATTTTTTTAACGGCCCATACTAGAAAAACTAAACTCGGCACACCTTTATGGCATGTTATGAAGTACTTTTTGGGCATAACCGTCACTTGGTGTACATCCCCAAAATGGGGGATTTTGGGGGAAACTCAAAAATTTCAAATACAAAGACCTACCGAGTGACCCCTCATTTTGAAGGTCCTGGTAAAAGAAAACCAAAAACGCAAACTAGAGGTATTTATCTCAATCCAGTAAAAAATGGCAGCCAATTGAAATTCTCAGAAATTGAATTTAACTTGCAGCTTTCCAAGTCTGGAGACCCCCTGTAAATTTTGTAGCGGCTCACACTAGGAAAACTCAACTCTACACACCTTTTTGGCATGTTATGAAGTACTTTTTAAGCATAATAGCCACTTGCTTACCAAACCCAAAATGGGGGATTTTGGGGGAAACTCAAAAGTTTTAAATGATAAGCCCCATCAAGTGATCCCTCATTTTGAAGGTCCTGGTAAAAGAAAACAAAAAACGCAAACTAGAGGTTTCTATCTCAATCCAGTAAAAAATGGAAGCTGATTGAAATCTTTAGAAATTGGAAATAACTTGCAATTTTTTATTCAATTGGCTGCCATATTTTACTGTGTTAAGATAGAGACCTATAGTTAGCGTTGTTAGTTTTCTTTTATTATGGCCTTCAAAATGAGGGGTCACTCGATGGGGCTTATCATTAAAAATTTTTGAGTTTCCCCCAAAATCCCCCATTTTGGGTTTGGGAACTTATGAGAATTTCAATTGGCTGCCATTTTGTACTGAGCTGAGATAGAGACCTCTAGTTTGCGTTGTTGGTTTTCTTTTACCAGGACCTTCAAAATGAGGGGTCACTCGATGGGTCTTTGTATTTGAAATTTTTTAGTTTACCCCAAAATTTCCCAGTTTGGGGATGAACACCAAGTGGCGGTTGTGCCCAAAAAGTACTTAATAACATGCCATAATGGTGTGCCGAGTTTAGTTTTTCTAGTATGGGCCGTTAAAAAAATAACAGGGGGTCTCCACACTTTTTACTAACCCTGTATTTGTTTAGTATTTTAGTTGTGACAGCCGCCCAGACAGACAGACACCACCTCAATCTCAATTTTATAATAGTTTAGATTATCTTCCTGATGTTTTTGTTATAGATGGTTGAAGAAGAAATCCGCAAAGACACAGCCAAAACCAAAGGAATGAATGATGAACCAGCCCTGAATGATGTCAACACAGATGATGAAAATGATGAAGTTCAGTACGACGCTTGGAAAGTTAGAGAACTGAAGAGAATAAAGAGAGATCGAGAAGAAAGAGAAGCGTGAGTATTTCAATCAATATTTACAAACTTAGTTTATATTTTGGGCTCCTAAGGCCCATACAACACCGATCAAGTGTTGCATAACTGAAACTGTTGCTTAATCATCTAGGAGAGCAAAACTCAGAAATATGGCAGAGTACTCCGCCTGACATGTCTGCAACATAAGGTCAAGCTATTACTGATGTTTAGGTCAGGTTTGTTAGTAATCCATAGTCAAGTAGTCTAAGGTAGCGGCACCGTGGATCAAGGGTGCGAATCCAGTCTCGGTCTTGATATGCAACTATGTGAAGTGTAGGAAAGGCCCATTTAAAGCAGTGAACGGCTTAGGTGGAAGTTAACGGGATGTGTGGATTATTAATGAGTTGAAAGACTAGTCTATATACTCCGTTTACAAAATTTTGGGGGGTTTTAGGGAAAGAAATCTATTCCATTCACTTGATCCTACCTCTAAAACAATAGCTGAGGTTTACCAAAACGTCAATCAGCTGCTACACATAAGCAAATACAAGTAGGTAGTGAGGGGAAACTTCCCCTGAAACGGTCTAAATTTTTTGATCAAACTAGACTATAATGGTAAAAATTGGTAAAATAGGCCACATTGTACAGAAGATGTGTTTCCAGTTTCCAATGTTGTTTAAGTAGGCTGGAAAGTAACTTGGTGTGCTAACGGACAGAGGGTTTTGTTGCTTGTATGTAAATTTAATACAAACAAGTTCAGGGTGGGGTCTTTGGTAGTCAGGAGGCTTGAGTAAACAGGTTACACACACAGGTTATGCACTCAGCATAGCAACGCTGGTGGCGCTGCCTACGAATTGACAGGCAAAGCTCTCTCAAAGTACTTAACGCCTTTTACTATGCGGTTGGCATTCTGGGTAATAGTAGTATGTTTTCTGTGAGGCACTTGTATCTTTTTGTAATTTTAAGGCAAAGCATAATGTTTACTCAATAGTATTTTGAATTTAGTTTTAAGCTTTTGTTTTGTTTGTGCAGCATCGAACAGGAGCGGGTTGAGATTGAGCGGTTGCGCAACATGACCGAGGAGGACAGACGACAAGAGTTGCGCAACAATCCCAAGGTTGTCACTAACAAAGCTACCAAGGGCAAGTACAAGTTCATGCAGAAGTACTACCACCGTGGAGCCTTCTACATGGTGAGTTAGCTTTCACACCACCAAGGAGAAGAAATAGAAATAATTTTTTTTTAGAATTTATAATCGTTATTATTGACAACCTAATGCAGCTATGAGTAAGGCTATTTGTAGAAAACGCTAAAAACCAAGATCAGCTTTTGAAAAATTATAAGATATTTACAAGAAATGTTGATTATATCGATCTGTTATGTACATCTTGAGTATTTCCTTAATTTTTGAGCCGAATCTTTTAAAGTCATCAGAAATTATGACTGTAATTTGTTTTAAAATAACGCCTGTAATACTTAGCAATTGCTCAAATTCAAGTAACAGGGACACTAGTGTATAAATAAATACATACAACTATAATAGTGACAATAATGATTTTTTCAGGACGCAGACTCAGATTTATACAAAAGAGATTTCTCCTCTGCAACATTGGAAGATCATTTTGACAAAACAATTCTACCTAAAGTTATGCAGGTATGTGTCAGTGAATGCTGGTTAGTTTTTGAGTACCTTTTTACTTTAAGATGGTTACCTAAAAGCTGTTGGTTGAAAAAAAACCAGGCTGTTTTTTGGATTTCATGATCAATTTTCTTTACAGTTACCAAACAGTTGGTGGTTAAATTTTTTTATCACAATGTCTTTTCAAGTCACTCACATTCCTGACTGTTAGATATTTTCTACATAATTGCATGAATTACTGGCAAATGTATAATGATCTTTTTATTAATGCAACAGTTACAACATAAAAGTTGTTTAACACGTTCGCTGCTACGGACGTTCCGGAACGTCAGCCGGGCCACGGCGCCAGGAGCTAAGAACGTTCCAGAACGTCACCGTTCATTGTTGTTTAACGTTGCTATGGATAAGCCAGCACGTCACAAGCGTTCTATATTTCTTTGCAGCTCGTGGGGACGTACTTTTCTGACAATAAAAAATATAGTTTCCCAAATCACCACCAGGGTTGTTTGGAACAGGGCTTTGTTTTACCTCTTTCCTGCTAGATAGCGACACTACTTTACCGACTGTAACCTGGGTAGTGCTGCTATCTATCAGAATCACTTAGTACTATATCCAATGCCAGTATTATTGCAGAACATTGCCATCCAGTATAACTACTGTTGTTTTTACTGTAATTCAGTGTATCGGTGGCAATGTCACGCAGCGGCCGTGCGTTAGTTCAGCAACTGGCGCCGTCCCGGCATCTAGCGCTCAGCAGCGAACGTGTTAAGGGAAAGTTTGATTTCATAATAACTAATCTTGTTCCAAAACGCTTCTGCTAAGGAGATTTTCAACTGTAGCTAACAGTGTCCAAGACGAAACTCAGTTCACTTAATCACTTAATTCTGTTAATAGGTTAAGAACTTTGGTCGCAGTGGCCGTACAAAATACACACATCTTGTGGACCAAGACACGACACAGTTTGACTCGCCGTGGGTGTCCGAGACAGCTCAGAACCTCAAGTTTCACAATAACCAGGCAGCAGGAATGAAACAAGTGTTTGACAAACCAAGTCTGAGCAAACGGAAAATGAACGCGTAATTTTGCATTGTGTATCTATATTTTGTACAAAGTAGAAATAGTCAAATTGAAAATACATTGTTGTAAATTGACAGAAACTATGTGTTATTTAAGGGCCAATGGTATTCAAATTTTGAAGTTACAATCATAAACATTGATTTGGATTAATTAAAGCTAAATCACTCGAGACTTTAAGCCTAAGCTCGGATACCTTGAGTATGTTTTGTCTTGAAGGGGCAGGGGTGCATTGATTATTCAAGGCCATAAACTATTTATAAGACAACAAATTTATTTCAAAATTTATTATCAAAATTCAGTCTTAACTTATTACATCACTTTGCTGGTTAATAAACTTTAAAACTACATAACAGTTATATAATACCAGCCGTGCTTCACGAAAGCTTTGAGTGCAAAGAATAACTTAAAAAGTGAAATAGTAAAAATATAATCAGTGGACACACCAGTCCAAAGGTGATGAAAGGTGATGATGAGGTATAAAGGTCACCTCAAAATTCCCATCAACATTAAATGCACAAACTTTTTACCGAAAATTATTGTATTGAAATAAATTAATAAAAGAATATTAATTACTAGTTATGTAAATAGTTATGTTTCACAATAAAATTCAATAAGTAAAATATTAAGTGGTCAAGAGCTAAACAAATAAAACGACCACTTGTTCAAAATTCCCATAACATTAAATGCACAAAACTTTTTATCAAAAAATAATTTATTGAAATAAATTAATAAAAGAATCTTTATTACTAGCTATGTAAATAGTTAGGGTTCACAATAAAATTCACTAACAAAAAATATTAAGTGGTCATGAGCTAAACAAATAAAATAACCACTTGGAATGTGCAGTTCTGACTTTGCTAAGGGTACAACTGGGTGTTAAAAAAACATTTGTCTGAGAGGATTTTTATAGTATTACACCCTTGTAATCTGACATCCTGTACGTACTATCAATATTGGTCTTTGCACCTAATATTTTAGGTAATAAAGCTTTACCTATAGTGAAATTTGCGTTAAGTTTTATAAACTTAAAACTAAAAATAAAATAAAAAATACTCAAAAAGTCAAACAAAGAAGCCTATCTTAAACCCTCACTTTTTAAAGCACTTATGTATACAAATCTTTAAATATGACTAATAAACAAAAGAGAAGTGTTGGACGAGTCACAGTCTTACTGCGGAAGAGAGCTTCTGATCACCCGCAGAGCTTGCTTAGCAGCGGCTCGCTTGGCTTGGTACTTGTTGTCACCAAAGCCGTTGCAGACTATTGTTTTTCCTTGGTGCAAGACTTCAACTTTCACAAGCACAACACCATCTGATTCTACGTGGGAACTGCAAGACAAAATTAAATTCAGGAATATTGTATACCATCACGGTACAAAACATCTACTGTAAAAATATCTGTAGTTGTAGCTACTTCAGTGACACATGTTAAGCGTTAGGGGAAAAGGAAATTCTCAGAAGAAAAGGTATGGATAAAATTAAAATATGAAAAAGGTCTCCCAACGCTACTTGATATATTTTCAGTGTGATAATTTACTAGAAGGTGGGCATCTAAAATTTTGTACTGGCTAGGATGGATTTTGACATGGATTAAACATACTCATTAGCGACTTATCCTGATGGATCAGCTGAATACAATTTTAAGATTCGTTCCGTCCATTTTATGCGGGAGGTGTTGTGTTGTTTAGCCTACTATTAATTTTTGTTATGTAAACAAATAAAAATAATTCTAATTTGTTAAATAATTCTTTGAAGGAAATTGTTAGTGTCTTTACGGAAAGAAGTTATTTATAGTGTTTTTAACCGGAGTAGAAAAAAAACTTTAAAATTTTCATATTCATTCATTTTTCTTTTATATTCATAATCTAGTTGTAGTTTTTATGTTTTTGACTTGTCACACCTATTTAAACAGCTGCGCTGGAAGAAAAAGCTAAGAGGTATGATGAATTAAGTTTTGATTTTTTAATAACAAAAAAGAAAGAATAACTAGAACTATCAAACATAACAATGTTCTCACCTGAATTCCGGCTGGCATTTCGACTCATAAAGCATCCTAACGTGATTCTTTGGAACGTCTTTCTTAAAGGTCTCTGAAAAAAATTAAAGAATTTAATTTAAATCCTATATTGCAATAGTTTAAACAGACGCCCGATCTGATACCACATATAAAAATCAGTTTACACATAAATATATACCAACCAACTATATTGTGGCAACTCGATCATGGAAGGATAGTTAAGAATAGAGCTGGACCATGTATTTTAGACCAAAGACAATTAAGGCCCGATTTCACCAAATTCTCGCTAACGATGGTTTAATTAAACTTCGGTTAAAACTAACTGACGATTTAAACCACAGTTAAGGAAATCTGGTTTCACCAACGAAAACGCGTCAAAACTAACGCTAGTTTTATAAACGAGAGTTTAGAGTAAAATCCAAGTGGCAGTGGCAGTGAACTGTCATAATATCGGGCTGTTACGGGAGCAAGTAAACATAACCTAGAAAATAAATCAGTGTTTATGAGGTAGTGAAAACAAAACTGGAGACAGCAAGATTACAGGAATACAATAGATTCTGAGCAAAATAACAACAGAAAGCAAGAATAAATACCAAAACAATTAACATAAGTAAATAAAGGCAAAGCAATGTTGATCAAACATATTATTCGAGGAACAAATTGGTTGAGTTTTGCGGTCGTGTCAAGACTCATCAATCCAACTTTTTACAGGGATGTTCAATATTCTGTTTGTTCACTGACCAGTTTGGTACATTTGAAGTAGTGAAAAAAAACTGGAGTCAAAAGAATTACAAGAACGAGACACAATGTAGATAACACCAAAATAATTATTTTCTATAAAATACTAGCACAATAATGACAATTTAGGTTTAGATTTTGGTTTACTTACGTCTGACCGAACGCAAAACAATTGTTTGAACGTTGGGTTAGGGTTACCCAAAGCCGGGAGAAGGAAAGGGAGCCTATTTTTTCGAACAATGAAATAATAAATTTGATAATGTTGGTAGAAGAGCCGGGACACTCTTTTTAGCCGGGATAAAAGAGTAGCCTACGGCTCTTGATCGCCAATCAGTTCAATGCGGTCGCTGATCACAGATATACGCCTTAACAAAAAACCTTGTGGGATAACCTAAAGCAATGCACTATGTGGGATAGCCTAAAGAAAAAGGCTAAACGTTTTGATAGTTCATATCTAATAATAAAATCAATTTCATCTTTGTTATTAAAATCACCCTTTCTCTTATCCACCTAGTTCGGTGAACAACATAGGCTACCCTTCATTGCCATCACTTACTTTCAAAAGCTAATTCGTACCGTATTCTCTTCTACCATTTCGCCATTCCATATAAACTTTAAACTTAAAGCCAGCTGATATTTACTTAACGAAAGATTAAAGAAGTTAACCGGTCAAAATTGGGCAGTTAATTATCTAACGACGGTTTAGTCTAAACTAGCGCTAACGGCGAGTGGTGAAATCCGATTTCGTCAGTTAAGAGCTAACTGCAGTTAGAGCAAGGCTTAACGGCAGTTTAAAAGTTTGGTGAAATCGGGCCTAATTTATGTTAATCATCTCAGGAGAATACCTGCTTCTAATTCTATAGGGATGGATAAGTTCCAAAATTTTACAAAATTTTTGGGAAAAAATTTTTCCCGATTTTCGGGACGGGATTACATTTGATTCGGGAATTTTTTGGGACGGGATTACATTTGATTCGGGAATTTTTCGGTACGGGATTTGATCCGATCGTCGGCGATTTTGCCGCTTTGCGAGTGACGATGACGCCGCTATCGCGAGAGATGTTCACGATAGTTCTGCGAGATGTTCACGATAGTTCTGCGAACGCAGGAGGCGAAGTCATTTCGACGATCGCGCCGTGACTGTGGAATCATACCGACGATCACACTGTCACCGCGGAGTCGTACCGATGATCACGCCGTGACCGCAGAGTCATACCGATGATCACGCCGTGACCGCGAGTCATTTCGACCAAGTTTCTATACCTGTAAATGTTTACCCAATTTTTGGTTTTTATAGATCAGTGCCACAAATGGTAAAAATTGATTTTGTTTGTATATTTTGGTAATTACAATACTGAAGACTTTCTTTTCATCCCGTCCCGTCCCGAAAATTGGGATTTTTTTGAGGTGAAAATTCAATCCCGTCCATCCCTAATTCTAATTCAACAATATAAACTGAAAATGGATTTGTATGAAGACCTAACCCAGCCAGACCCTTGTATGGGACTTGCTGCCTGAGATTGGACATTGCTGTGCAAAAATAGGTTTTTGGCCTACAAAAAGCATATCAGAAACCGCACCTCACAACTTGTGGGATTTTAAAATTAAATATAGTAACAACGGGCGGCGCAACAGCATTTCCACTGTGATGGCTGAACAGTTACTGAGGAGACAAACAAATCTGTACTTAAAAGTGTGATCTCTGCGCCTTGTGCAGCGTCAGGAAAAACGTTCCTTGGTTTTAAATAACCCTTTGTATCTCTATGTCATACAATTATGGCAACAGCGCGGTCATCTTTCCTTACAGTGACAAATTTTGTATCATCTCCTAATCATCTCACAATTTTGGGGTCATTGTGCATTTTTAATTTTTTTGTATTTTTTTATGTTGGAAATAAGAATTCTGGTCTCTGCAAACTTGGGTGTTTTCCAGTTTCAAAGCCTAGCCGAGGTTTCAATAGTCGGGTTCAAATCGGCTCCTTATTATCTCTGTATGTCACAATTCTAAGCTATATAAAAAGAAACCATCCTATGCCGGTTCTGTATTTTAAAAACATATTCCAAATATTGAACATAGAAAATCAAAATAAGTTTAAAAGTGAACTCAAAAGTTTTTTGATCAGAAATGCACTTTACTCTCTTGAAGAGTTGTACGATTTAACTTATGTGAATTCTGATGCTACATAACTGTCAATTTCATAACTGAACAATTCAATGCAATGTACTGTATTACTGTACATGAAACAAATAAAAAAGTTTTAAATTGAATTGAAATGTCTTACGCTTAAAAAAGATCAATTAATTTCCTGATTGGTATCGGCATCAGTATTGACTAACGTCAAATTGACAGCACATCAGGGCGGGTTTAAATCTGTGGTGTAAAATGCCAATCTGATTCCCTTCCAAATAACAGTCGGACAATTCTTAGATAGCAGAGTGGAATCTCTAAGTCTAAATTAGTCTATTCTATGTACATAGCTTAAACCTTATATCTATCCATCTTCCATTAAAGCTATAAATAAGAACAATAGAGTGAACCAAAGGTCATATTTACCGATTTCTTCACGCATCAAACAGTATAAAACTCGCCAAGTCACATCAATGTTTTTCCCAGAATCAAGGTAAACAGCTCCAATGAGGGCTTCAAACAAATCCCCAAGAGCTTTAGGCACTTCTATGGACTCAGCCATCTTCACTTCCCTCTCTTCACACAGGAATAATATCTGTAAAGAAACTGTATCAGTGAACAATTCATATTTACAACTTTACATCATATACTTACATTACATTTGAAGATGTTTGTTGTGATAAAAAGTGCCAAAGGGTAAGTTGAGGTCTTGACATTTTACATTAATAGGACAGATTTTTTACAAGGGGATGTCAGCCTCTTTTAATTTGCCCTTACGCATTGCTTTATTGCAATGACTTCAAGACTGTGCGTGGAATGTATCCAGCAAAGCAAGGGAAGTACAGTACAAGAGTTGAATTGCACTGGTAAAAATGTATACGGGTGCGGGAATGTTCATGATTTTGCGCGATTGATGTGTCTACTCGACAGCGGTATCAAGAATCAATAAATTTTGGTGTCGAAACAATACTCAACATTGAATTATTATAATTTGTCATATAGAACAGATGAAGCATTACCTGCACTGAACTTTTCCCGGTCTAAGGAAATTACCCATATTTGGCGGGGAACTTGACTAAATGAAACCACTTAATTGCTCACGTCGTTGTCAATCTTGTGCCCCCGCTCCTCCTGATGTTTGACGAAGCGAGCCATGATGTCGTACAGAGGCTTGGAACGGTGCAGCAAGAAGGTCTGCAAGCCGAACCTCACTGCTATGCAGCCGAGCGTGATGTTGTTCACCAGAGCCGACCGCAGATCTGTCAAATCCCCGGGGTGTAGCTCCTTGCAAACCTCATATATGTGGATTGTGATCAGGAAATCTGCGGAAAACAGTTGAGACTAGGTTGATTTACTTACATATTCCTGATAAACACAAGACGACATACATTAAACTATTGAGTTTGATTCTTAGTGGGTAATCACCAAGGATAAACGATGATATTGGGTTGTTAACTGCTTTGGACTTGGTTACCTAGCCTCCAACAGGGGTACACACTATAGAAAAGTATGCAGTTTATGGTTTTATAAAAATGTTTGCCAATTTCGACTATAAAAAATAGAACATAAAATTGAGAATTCTTTTGCCTTAACATTTATCAGCCCTGAAGGGAAAACTTGTAAACTGTGGCATAGTCACATCAACGATGAAAACATACTCAATCTTACTCCAATGGCCATTTATTACCAAAAGAAGGTATTCGGCCTACCTACTTGTTTCCTTTTTTTGCGAATCTTCTTCACTAGTCTTAATCTAAAGAAAGAGTTGCTTCATCCTACCTCTACTAGATACCAAGGTTTCTTGCTAATTTGTCTAGAGCAAAAAAATAAGGGAACAGAATTTTGATAGTATATTTGCTCACACCTAGAGAGTTTACAGTTACAGTCCTGAGATGTCTACCTTATTAATCAAGGTCAATAGTACAACAAAAGAAAGCTTGACACCAGTGAGTATAAAATATACCATTTAATGCAGGGATGGGCGAGTAGTGTTTTTTTGAGTCGAGTCGAGTAATTAGCCCTAATACTCGAGTATCGAGTAGAGTCGAGTCGAGTAGTTCACGAGAAAATCAACAATTTTATTTTACATATACTCCATCTTCATTTTTACGAACAAAGCATTTCTCAATTCACCAAAAATAGACCTGGTTAAAAACTTTATACCATATAAAAAACACAATATGTATGTGTATCAAACTTATATTTTGGTGTTAAAGGTTTATTATTAATTGCAAAAAAAATTGCAAAAATATGGAACTAAGTGTTTATTTTAAAATAGGCCTACTGTAAATGTTTGAATTTGACTAAAGCATGAGATCTAATAAAGTTTCCTCTAATTTATAAATAGGCTTATAAGTATTTATCTAAGTCATTTCTCAGTTTTTGTATTTATTTGAAATTCCATGAAATTGTCTTAGTTAACTCATTAGTTTATAATTTTTTTTTTTACGTACCTAGCCTACATCTTGGTCTACAAATACTCTTTGTAAGGTAAGTTTTTTCCTCCAAGTGAGTAAAAACTAACTTCCTATATAATGACATTTTCTCACTAATTAGCCTATATATCTTCAAAATTTGTTTAACTATGAAAAATTCACCAAGTCTAGCTGAAAACATAATCATAAATGAGGATATTTTTGAAATACAGAATAAATAATCAAACAAAATTTTTAACACTTTTATTTCTCAACTTTTTTCCCTTGAAAATGTCAACAGTTTTTCACTTATTTTTAATAAAGATTATCACTTATAATTGTTTTAAAGAAGTCCAGATGTGTGAACTTGAAGAGCAGACTAGAGACATACGTCACTGCCACAAAAACTCTTCTCTAAGTGAGAATGAATGATCTGTTTATTGTGTGAAGCCCCACCCACCGCCTAACGGGACATGGGGGAGGAAAAGAGAAAGTTTGGCAGAATTTGCCCTTGTTCTAAAGCCTGGTTCACATGCCCTCCCTCACCCTCGGCCTCAGTGGCTTGCAGATTTACATTACACAAGAGTGTTAAATTATTTTGGAATACTGTAAATGTTTGAATTTGACTATGATGAGATCTAATAAAGTTTCCTCTAATTTTTAAATAGGCTTAACTTTTTAAGTATTAATCTAAGTCATTTGTCAGTTTTTGTATTTCTTTTTAAAAGCAATTGCAGTTATACATTAAAAAAATTACAAACATCTTGGCCTACAAATACATTTTGTAAGGAGAGTCTTTTCTCTAAGAGTAAAAACGATCGTGGTCAAGGAATGAACTGTGCTAAAACAGCACATTGTCAATGTTTACAAAAGTATTTTGACTAAAACCCTGGTATTTTTTAAAGACATTGCATAATAGCCTATGTCGACGTCTGTGGAGAAAAGTATGGCAATAGATAGGTTTTACTTTTAGCCTACAATAAAGATTATGTTTTGGGACTAAAATCTCCAAAAGACCAAAAGAGTGCTTTTAACAAACATTTCATAGTTTTATTTAGTAACAAAAGTGTTTGACTATGTTCCCGATTATACCAAGAACAAGGTTCGGCAGAGTGGATTCACTGTGAACCGGCCTGCCTGGCCCTTATGCACGACGTCACTACACTATAACCTCCGTGTAGGGGTGTCAACAATGGATCGGGACAATCAAAGTTTTGAACCTGTCTGTAACCTAGTTTTTTTATACTTTAATACTCATTATGCATAAACGAACACGTACTACATATCGGATCTCGAATCACGATATTTATCGATACCCTTTCCACCCACAATAAAACATTAAACGATGTCAAAGCAATCGTCATTTGCTCCATTGAAACACGAAAGTCGATTGGCTGACATGGTAGTGCACTGACGCCTCCTGACCAATGAGAGCTGTTGTTACATACTTTTATTGTCAACATTCACCAATCGTTTTAACATTACAAAATCGACACGGACTAAGGCTTATAATATTTTTCAATAAATACATTATGCTATAGTAGCACTTAAAACTTCACTAAACTCTTTAATCAGGTAGATAGTACAGATCAAAATATGGATCTACTTTTTGGCGCAATATAAAGCAAGCCTAACCATACGACGATGTTAAAGTTTGATGGTTGAATATAATTTTTCTAATGATGCGTATAATGCAGGGGTTATTAAACTGAAAATTTCGACGTGTTTAGGTTATTTATTTTGTACTAAAAATAAAAATAATACATCTAAATGTCTGACTTATTGATACAGACATTGTTTAGTACTGTATAGTTAATTTCGTGTTGACAGGACATTCGCGCGCCGGTTGTCTCTTGAGTTGAGTCTGACATCTTGAAATGTAGATTCGTTGATTGTGTTGTGCAATGCTGAAGCTAAACAATGTCACCGGCACCGTCGCTGTTTTGAACTAGATAGTTTCTAAGTTGGCTATGAAAATTGTTAACCGTGATGACAAAACTAATACTGTAGCTATACAGTAAATAAATGTTAAAATAAAATATTTATCCCTGTCGGATGTCGGTGTCATCGGAATCGACTTTTGACAATCGAGTCTTGGTACCGATACCAATGTCCAAGTATCGGTGGTATCGATGACGATAATCGAATCATCCCTTTTAGCGAATTTCCCTATAGGGAAGTAGCTATTACCGTAGGTCTCATGGTAAGACTTAGGCCCGGGACCGATTTACTTTTTCATTTTAATGTCCCCAGAGGCCAAAAAAACCATTCGTTCAAATTTTTATATATGTATATATATATATATAGATATATATATATATATATATATAGATTTATATATATATATATGTGTCCGTGAACACGATAACTTGAGTAATTTTTATCCGATTTTGATGAAATTTGGTTTGAAGGTGTAAGGCGGGATAAACTTGAATGAGTTCGCGATCCAGCATGATCGGACCATCGGAACAGGGTTTTACGGGGGGTTTTATGGGGTAAAAATTGGTTTTTCTCACTTTTTACCCTCAAAACACAAAATTTCCCAATTTTTCTCTAAACCTTCTTAAAGAGCTTAAAAAAACAAACAATTCAGTATATCAAAGTGTTTTTGTACGGTTATTGGTTACGGAGAAAACTAAAAAAATAGTTAATTTAAAATTCCCATGTTATTCTTATGGAGAATATTGTAAAATGTTGTAGTTTGCTTGTTTATGGATATATTTTGATCAAACTTGGCAAATTTATTTATTTTATAGTAAGCTATCAATATTTTACTAAAAACACACTACTTTATTAGTTTCCTTGTAGCAGCAAACCTAGGTACTCGTCAAACCTAATGTTATTTAAATAGATCAATTGAAAATCAATTCGGCCAAATGGAAATTCGCTTAGACGGCAGGTTTGCTGCGGCGGGGGTATTTACTAGTAGAGCTGTATCGTGACGTAATCGATGCATCGGGATTTTGATGCATGCTGGATCGAATCGGGATTCGATGCATCGCACTCGCACACCTACACCACTGCCTATCACCCAGTGTCAAGTGTCAGCTCAGCTGTCGGCGCTGTCGCTGTCAGTTAAAATGATGACGTAAGCGATGTCTAGGTTGCCGATTATTAGTAGGCCTAGTATGTCAATATTTAAAGGGGTTAAGGGATTAAATAAAACTCAAACATTTTCCTTTCTTACTATTTATTTGTCAAATATCAATGAAAATAACGAAATCGGCTTGTCTACTACTCGACTTGAGTCACGAGTATCTTTAACTACTCGACTCGACTGTCGAGTATTGCCAACTACTCGAGTAATTACTCGACAGTCGAGTACTCGCCCACCCCTAATTTAATGATACTCAAAATCGTTCAGTGATCATCAATAATATGATATTAACTGGTAGCAATCGAGTGCCTTACCTATGATGGCATCACCGAGGAACTCGAGTCTCTGGTAACTCTGTGTAATGTGGTTCAGATGAAACGACGGGTGCGTGAGTGCTTGTAGCATATAAGCTCTGTCTTGGAACTTGTAGTGGATCATCTCCTCCAGGTGCTCGGGTCTCACTAGATGTTCAGAGGGAAGACTGCGTATACTGCGGGTCGGAGAAGCCATCTTGTCTGTGAAGACCTTCTCTGAAGCCAACTCTGGGTCTATCACCCCGAACCAGTTCATCACTCTCAAAGCTCCGAAAATGCCACTGTTCTGTACATGTGGAGAGTAATTAGTGTTGTAGTTGACTACTAAAATAAAAATCCTACTCATTGAGTTTAAAAAATCTGTTTCATCCCTAACAAATATAAAATCACGTCATAAGCAAACTTTTTTTCAGTGTATCATGATCCCTTTAATCCTTGCACTATTTTAAAATAAACATTTGCTAACAGGCGGTTTTTTATTTTATTTATCTTAATGTGAGAGGCCTATAGTATAATTCAATAGACATTAAAAGATTTTCATAATTCTTCTGTGGAAAGAAAGATAAATTTGAGAGGAAGGTAATTACCGAGCAATAACTTTTATTTTGGGTTTCTGTTTAATTAGAAATTGAATTTACATTTTTTTAAAGTTCAGCAGTCGACTCTGGACTTGGGAGTCGACTATTAACTCCAAGCAGTAGTGCCGAGCCATCATGGTGGCAGTGGCAATATGATGCATTGAGCTCAACGACATCCTTACAACTAGTTCTACCGTGTTTGATATCAATGTTGTAACAATGTTAATGTGTAATGTTTAAAAATCGTTTACTTAACCAACATTCATTCAACTTACCTTCAAAATCAAAGTGCTTTATTAAAGCCAGATTTTTTAAAATTAATTTTAAGTTTTTTGTATTGGTTGTGCCTCTCCTGAGAGCTATGGGTTAAGTATTATGTGTGGCCAGACTCACCTCCAAGTAAACTCCAATTATGGCTTCTACGGCGTCTGATATATTTTTGTCCGTGAGTCCCAGCTGGTTAGTAAACACACAAGTCTGGATATGTTCGAGGTCTTTGGCATTTACTATTATGTCTGTAAAAAGTTAATTAGCACTCATAATCAATTAATTAGTACCAATTACATGTACAGAACAGTTGTTTTATCATAGTAATAAACAAATAAAAAGTTATTTAAAATAACAATACGAGACTAACTCTTGTTGATTTCCTTTTCACATCCTAGGACGCTAGGTTCTAGCCCAAAACTGTTTTACACATTACTTCAAGCTGGTCCTAGATGGTTGTAGCATTATCACATGGATCAAATCCATTGGTGATTGGCGGTATTTGAATATATTTTGAATATATATATATATCTTCATTGACTGGGCTATAAAGAATGAGATATTACCTACCTGTAAGTTCTGCTCTGACTGGTTGAGATATTACCCCTGAAATAACGTCTTCTTCAGGAATGTTCATCAAGTACAAGCAGCCTGCAAAATCCAACATTTGAGATAGGCATTTAAGTTTATTATTTTACTCATAACTCAATATTTTTTATTTAATTTGATACCAACCTGAATAAGAATTCGGACCACTAAATTTCCTTAAATTGAATTTTGATTTTGCCTTTTAATACAGTTAGATACAGCAGTGCCATATATATTGTGTGCAAATAAATAGGTTTACCAGTCTTTTATGTTCATTAAAAAAATTGGTCAGATAATTTAAGGAGATGTTTGTGTAGCTTTCAATAGTCTTCAAATTAAGTTTGGGTAAACTAATCTTTTTAAGTTACTAAAAGCCATACACAACATTTTTTCTAATTTGTCACTTGAGTCCCATTAGTCTAAACACAGACTAATGGATTGATGGAGTTGGGATAATCCCAACGTCCGCTTAATCCGAACAAATTCCAGAAATTTTTGTAAACAATTTGTACTGAAGATGAGTGTTGTTATTATCATAAAGTATTATTTTTGAGTTATTTTTATGAGTCATTTAATGTTTTTTAACATTTACAATATGATTTGTTTTCAATCATGGGAATATCAATGTTTTCACATGCCTCCGTTCTGATACAGTACGTTCCGATAGCCTATGATTAGCAGAAGCTTACAAGAGATGTTTTGTTCATTAAGAAATTTATTGCTGTTTGGTGTTTGGCTAATTTTTTGTTAAGTTTGAGTAATCATTTCAAACATTGCAGTTTATATATCTGAACCACGGTCAATGACATAAAGTATCATGATTACACAATATCTATGATTGTGCAATATTGTCATTTTTTTATGTAACAATTCAAATAATGACATTAATGTCTATTTACACAGTATTATGTTGGTTTTTTATGTGTTTGTTATATATTTTATTTCCTGTTGATGGTTGAAATACAATCGTTTTCGCTTTATGTAGTCTGCCTCCTCCAATCGCCCCGGATAATCAGGGTTCTACTGTATTTAAATTATTTCGGCTAGTATGAACAATCAGCTGATCTAAACAGTGTTCAGTCCCAATTAGTTTAGATTAACCGGACTCAAGTGGTACATCTATACGTCTTGTATGAACATAAGTCTATAGATAACAACTATCGTACAGTTCTCCAATTTTGATGAAATTTTGATTGAATATAAATACGACATAACGATGGAAAGGAGGGTTTGGTACCCCTTAAATTGGGTTTTGATCTTTTTTACTCTATGTTAACAAATTTCTCAAAGAAAAATATATCTCCGCCAGTTCATAACCAAGCCACTGGACATATTTGTACTATGTAGGTTTGTTGTAATGATAGGGATTTTTTTATAGTGTAGTACACACTTACCGGGGTCTAAAAGAGCATCTATGAGCACAAGTTTTATTGTCTCTTCAAGACAGAACTGCGGAGGAACCCACTCTGTTCCCGGGGAAAAATCTTTGACCTGTGAAAAAATCAATTAATTTCCATTAAATCACTTTTATAGTAACAAAAGCAGTCTAAAACTTTACATTTGACACTTTATTGACTAAGAAAAATCAAACAATTCATTATTTACAAATGTCGATTGCTTGTTAATGGCTGATGATAAAATCCAAATAAACAAAATATTAAATCTAATTTAATCATGCCAAAAGAAAGAAGTTTAAAGCTAGCATTATTTAAAACCGTACAAAAAAAAAACATAATACAACAAAAATAATGTACATTATTTGACTTTTTCTACCTATAGAATTCACTAATTTCAGAAACAGAATATACTTAGCCATAACATAATCATCTATTATACTGTTCCCATTATTCTGTGTTAGCAAAAACACGTTAGGTACCTGCTGTCATTGGCCCAAAATAAGCACCAAACTTTTGTTTTTGCAGTTTAAACAATATATTTAATGGTTTTTAAAATAATTCGCTGTAATCAATTAAAAAAACAGTCTACACTTAAGTACAATGTGCCCAAGTCAAATGCAAACATTTCTTCTAACGATTATACAAAACATAAACTATTGTGTAGTTATGTAAAAAGACGGCCCTCTCTTATCCTCGATAAAAGCTTGTGAGCCATAGAAGCTTCAAATTGTGTTGAAAAGATGTGAGGGATCGAACATGAAGGGAACTTTTATATAATCAATTTATAATCTAGATTCTAGATGATCAATTTATGAACATTGAGATATTTTATTAATTTTATATCAACAGATAAAACCTACCTCTAAGATATTTCCCAGCTGTTTGTTTCTTCCACAAAAATAAAGGTTTCTGTTACCAACGGCTTGTCCTTTCACGTTGGTCAGACATCCTTCGCTCAAGTCTTGCTGCGTCTCAAAAAGAGTGAGAGAGATGGAGAACTTGAGGAACGAGTCTCCAAGAGTCTCCAGTCGCTCGCAGTTGATCAGATCATTGGCCACAGCTGCTGTTATGGCCTACACAATAAACAGAGTAAGAGATGGAGAACTTGAGGAACGAGTCTCTGAGAGGTCTGAAGTCGCTTGCAGTTGATCAGATCATTGGCTACAGCTGCTGTTATGGCCTACACAATAAACAAAGTAAGAGAGATGGAGAACTTGAGGAACGAGTCTCCAAGAGTCTCCAGTCGCTCGCAGTTGATCAGATCTTTGGCCACAGCTGCTGTTATGGCCTACACAATAAACAGAGTAAGAGATGGAGAACTTGAGGAACGAGTCTCTGAGAGGTCTCAAGTCGCTTGCAGTTGATCAGATCTTTGGCCACAGCTGCTGTTATGGCCTACACAATAAACAGAGTAAGAGATGGAGAACTTGAGGAACGAGTCTCCAAGAGTCTCCAGTCGCTCGCAGTTGATCAGATCTTTGGCCACAGCTGCTGTTATGGCCTACACAATAAACAGAGTAAGAGATGGAGAACTTGAGGAACGAGTCTCCAAGAGTCTCCAGTCGCTCGCAGTTGATCAGATCTTTGGCCACAGCTGCTGTTATGGCCTACACAATAAACAGAGTAAGAGATGGAGAACTTGAGGAACGAGTCTCCAAGAGTCTCCAGTCGCTCGCAGTTGATCAGATCTTTGGCCACAGCTGCTGTTATGGCCTACACAATAAACAGAGTAAGAGATGGAGAACTTGAGGAACGAGTCTCCAAGAGTCTCCAGTCGCTCGCAGTTGATCAGATCTTTGGCCACAGCTGCTGTTATGGCCTACACAATAAACAGAGTAAGAGATGGAGAACTTGAGGAACGAGTCTCTGAGAGGTCTCAAGTCGCTTGCAGTTGACCAGATCACTGGCCAAAGCTGCTTTAATAGCCAATACAAAAAAAAATTACTAACTGCATTGACATTTTTATCTTAGTTTACACCTCATTGCATAAAAAACCTTCCGCGTTTGCTGTAGGACCAAAGATGCTAAAAACTAGAGCAGTAAACCAAACTCTAATGACAATTTTCTAACCTGTAGAATTTGAACTTGTTCTGGGCCGGGATCTCGAACACTCTTCTGCAGCATCTTTAAAGGTGGGGGCTGGATCAACTTGGGTGCCTTGCTATCTGACACTTTCATCTGCTTCTGTAAAGGGACATTAATAACCTTTAATATAGCAACACTTTCATGTACAGGTTTGTCAGAGTTAACGACTCAATTAAACATTTTTATTTTGTTTAGCTCTTCAATAATAATGGTGGGCGGGGAAGGGCTATGTTGTAAAAAGGAAGTGTACAAATGGATAATAAACACTTGCTACTATTACTTAAAACTCATTTTAAGTAATAGTAAAACTAGGTGGCAAGTAAATGGCTTTCATAACTTCAGTAGTTCTTCAGCAAGTTGAGTAAGTTCAGTAAGTAGTTTGGATGTGTTGCTAGCCTAGTGGTTATCGTTACTGACTTTGGTGCGGGAGGAACAGATTCAATTCCGGGAAAACCACAAAACTTAAATGGGTTCGGACTGCTTTCCCTCAAAAGCGTTTGAACTTACACTGACTTAAATTAAAATGCCACTAGCGTAAATATGACTTTCATCCATTATTATTCTGAACTTCCTTCTTTCTTCCCACACATATTTGTGATGATTTCTTCAAAACCAAATCACACGATGGCTAAAACTCATTTTCAATCTTGGCAAGTAAATTCTTAGTTGTAACAATCCATCTACATCCACAATACTATGCTATTGAAGGACTGATAGTTGTCGTAATGGTTCTAGGTGGTATTGGAACCTGGCCTGTATTTTTTGAGGCTGATTTTCATCCGACGTTGCTATTTACTGGCAGTTGTCCACCCTCTGCCCTACCAGTTACGACTGACTCAAGAGAGTAGTTGCTGACCTTTCTTGCACGGATCTCAGGGAAATCAGCCTTTCTTTTCTGATTAGGCTCAAGGCGATCCAAAACCTCTGAAGAGGTTGAAGCTATTACAGGGGCAGACTGTGGGTCCACTTCCATTGAAGCACCCGTTTCGACAGTTGTGTCTTCAGTGTTTTCTTCATCATCACCTTTGTTCTGAAGTGTAAAAATTACATACATTTAGCTGTAATAGGAATACTTTAATACTTTATACTTTTTAATACTTTAATCTGAAATGGCGACTAAGACTATACTAATGTAGGTTTTTTAAGCCAAGTATGAATGAAGATGAGTGTAGGATGAGTGGTGCGATCTTTGTAGTCTTGTTAGTGACTAAGGCCGACATTTTCCCTTATACACAGCTGTTATTTAAAAGCTCATACAGCCAATGGCAACTAAGGGACCTACAGTTTATAGTGGAATCTGAACCACATATTTTTCTTGTAACTAACAAATTGGTCAAATTATCAGAACTGCGGATAGTCGTATTGCTCACTAGTGCGGACGTTAATCCACACCAGAGAGCATCGCATCCACAGTGCATGGCTATAAATATTTACAATTCGTGACCTCCTAGTAGTTGGATTACAGGACGACGCCACCGTCCCAGTCTAGAATAGGGTGAAACCTTTAAACATTGTAGACTAAAATGACTAAAAAAATTGGTCCCACCTGGAAAGTATGCTTCATCATTTTGAAGTTATGATGTCATAACTTCTTTTGGAATCAATCAAATGCTCTTAGACTTGGGACAGCTCTACCTATTGTTCAATATATTGTGAAATAAAGAAGCTTTTAATATTATAAAATAACATCTCTCTCCACAGTACTAAAATCTAAGGTGATGAGAGATTAGTCCTGCCTCCCTTGCCGATCTTCCAGAAGACTGTAAACATTTACTAAGCCCTCCATATCCACCAGACCAATCAGGAATTCCCATTTGAGCTTCCAAAAGTGACACACATGTCTCCTTGTGCCAAAACTGCCTACAAGGATGGTTCGTTCCACCTACCTTTGAAATTTAATTGCATAAAGTTACTCCTCCGACCTTGAAAAGAATCCCATTATAATATCCACTTATCTTTGGAGAAAAAGCTAGTTGGTGTTCACTAGTCTGAAAGGTATCAGCTGTGAGGTAAACAAAGCACCTGAGATGGTTGTGGATCAGATGCGCTGAGATGAATGAAATCTTACTGTGCTCGCTAAGTATGAGCCTCTTTGTATCTAATTCAAGGTAAAACACAGGGGTGTCCAGAGGAAGGGATTTTAGGGAGGATTTTATTTTACATATTGTCATTAATGATTTAATACGTTTTTTATGAGTTGGCTGAGCCCTAGTTTGTTTTTTTTAATTCATACTTTATTAACACTTGCAATAAGGTATTGCAATATAATATAATCGCAATAACAGAATGCAGTGATGATATCTTCGCTACCACGGAGATATGTCAAAAATACAGAGATCCCGAGAGATGATGGTGATGTCTACGTGACTGCGGAGTTATGTAAATATATTGCCAACGTTCTCGGGGGAATGTGAAGATATTGCCGCTGTCACAGGAGGCGATGATGATGATGATGATTGTGTCTTTGCGATAGCATTGGACTGACAATTAGTTGCTGGGATCAGTGAATGATGTTGTTTTCACAACCACGGAGGGATGTCAAGATCACGGGAGGGAGTTGACAATGTCTTTGCAAACAGTGATGTGTCAGAATATTGCAGAGATTACGAGATACGATGGCGAATTCATCGCGTCCACGGATGAATGTCAAGAATATTGCCAGGATGAGGTCTTTGCGACAACTTGAGAATGTCAATATAGTGCTGAGATCACGGGAGTGGATAATGATGTCTTTGAAACCGCGGGAGAATGACAGCGGTCATGGAATATTGTCATGATGATATTATGATACAGATAGAAAAAACACCGCATTCTCAGAAAGGTTAGAAGGAGACAAATAAATTTTCTTCATTCCTTTGGCGGCTACCTGGTCATGCGTTTGTCCGTTTGTAGCTATAGTAAAACCTCACTTACTCAACAATCTAGCCTAGTTACACAGTCCAAAGCTTACAGGGTACATGAAAAAAAAAATGTTCAGAACATTTAGTTTTAACTGCTGAATATTTGACACAACTGGGTGTATCGAAACCTAATTATGAATTAAATATAGATGTAGAATAAAGTGAGGTGCCTTGAGTAGCTTTGTTTCTGACTAAGACTAGCTGTTTCTTTGGCCGAGACCATTTGTTACCGGTAACCTTTTAATTGTTAGGCGAGGAAACCAATCAGTCAAACAAATTAAAACACTTGAATTTAGTGATTTTTTAAAAGTCAGTAATTACTTACAAACTCGCTGTAGACCGATTCATTGATGAACTCTTGATGGGTCACAATGTCGAACAGTGTGACATCGTCCATGTTGTGATAAATGTTCGGTGGGTCTCTGGTGGTCTGTACGGACGCCGAGCCTCGATTCTGCAGATTCAACGTCAATGGAGTCAGCTGCTGCGTTTTCACTTCAGATGGCACATGTTTCACCAGACTTGCATCTGCTTCCAGTTTTTTCAGTGATTTGCCTGGAGAAATTAAAGATTTATCGGTTTATAAATTTTCTTAGTGAAAATTGCATTACCCTTGGTGTTCAAATCATCCTAGTTCACCATTATGTGAAGTATTAAAAAATATTTAATTCAGGTTTTAATAAAATTAGTGTGAACGAGAAAGTAGATTCAGTAATGATATTTGCAGTGAGTTAATGAGATGTAATAACAAACAGATCAATAAATATTTGATTGTTTGATTTTGACTATCTACTTGCCTGGAGGGGTAGTGTCATTGCCGATTTTGATGTCCCTAACCAGCTTCTGACGCAGCTCCTCGGCTGCGCACAGCTGTGAAACCCGATACAGCACTGACGGAAGCAGACGAGCTTTTACCCAGTAGCGGCCTGGCACTGGGTACTTGTGGCAGAACTCCGGCAACAACGAAATATCAAGATCTTCATTGTCAGTTTTGTTTAGGAACTTTAATGCTTTTGTCAAGGTCCTGAAACGAGAGTGCAAACGACTAATATAGTTGACTTTGGACACTTATATTCCTGTAAAACCTGAGCCTATAATGTGCGTGTCATCGATTCGTAACAAATCTGCAATATCGAATCTAACATCAGGCTATCAATCAAGGTATCAAAAGCAGGGTTTGGAAAATTCCTTTCCACAAAACGTAAAGAACGCTATTAGCGTTGAAACTAACAAAAACACAGCAATAACATCTGTATCTGAACAGATAGCAACGAGTTTACAAAGAATGTGTCTAAGTCTTATTAACCTAGTAGCCGTCTTTACCATCCAAAGGTAAAACCAAAAAGATCTGAACAATAAGTCCAATTCATTTACTCCATCTAGTTTAACTGACTTATAGCCCCGGCAAACAACATTACAAATGAATATTTTCAGAAAACACAAAAATGTTCTGACCACGCCAAAGTCAACGCAGCTTGTCTTCTGCACATTTAAAATCCCTTGCAAGTGCTGCCAACCTATGAAGTTTTAAATACAAAATATCCCACACAATAGAGCATTTCATTTGCATTGAGATATTCTATTTTTCCATTATTTACACAGTCAGTAGAAGAAAAATATTTTACAATTCTAAAAAAATAGAAGGTGAAAATGATGCTCACATCGGTTTCAAGTTGTTCATCCTGCTTGACAGCGCTCTCACTTCCAACAGAGGTTGATGAATCAGGGGAGTGATCGTGTACTTATCAGCAAAGTAGTCCTTGTATGTTCTATACACATCAGAGGGAAACTCTGAATCTTCACTCATGTCGTGGCAAACCTTGGTTACCAAGTAGTTCTGAAATCAAATGATAAAAACAATTTACAAAAGAAACTACTTTTGAGCACCTAAATGTTGAAAGAATTTATTGATCTGTAAAGAAAAAATTGCATGTTGGTTCCGAAATGTTGATATTCATAATGAATAATCAATGTGGATCAATTTTGAAATTTCGATGGCGAAAATCAGAAATAGAATTCCATTTCAAAACCCAATGGGAAACTTTTCTAGTTGCCTGGTCAAGGATACAAAAAATTAAAAGTAATAAATAATCAAATGTTTACTATGCTTAAACCAAAAAACATAATATTTATAACCACAAACACCATACACATTTGTAAATTAACTCCTAAAGGAACATAAACATGGATATTAGATCAATCAAAACATTTTGTGGTCAATATTTATTTTTGTTAGTTAAGTAAATATCCGTTTGAAATTGTATTGCATAGTGTTCTAGTATGGATATTTATTATACCTAATGGTGTTCAGAATACTGTATAAATTACTTGTTTCATCAGTGTTAGTGATTGCTCCTATGCTGCAAGCTTGAGTGCAAACAGTTTGATATAAAAAAAATGTCAGGTTTTAACAGTTTCAAAACATAGCTTGCTACAATTTCGAATCACCAACTTTCAAATTATCAAATAATAAAACTTTTGAATCTCAAAACTCGTTGATTGAATATCAAAACCGATACTGTCTAATTTTATTTATTTATTTTTGGCTGACAATAGGCATATTCACCAGAGCAAATACGTTTTTTTCTTTCTGTTTTATAGTTGTTCTAGTTCACTAATGTGGATATTAATATTTAAATAAGTAACCAACTTATAAGTTTCCAAATATATTACAGAACTTTTCAAAGAATTACTTGAGCGACAGTGGTGATGACTGATTTAGTAAACCTAGTACAAACAAGATCAATTAAGCAGTACTAAGCAGTATTTACCGTGGCAGGGACAGGCCTGTACCAAGGAGTTATAATCATGCCAAGGTAGTTTTCTTCCGTCACTTCTAGGCTCCTTCTAGTTTCCTCAGAAGGTATTGTTTCTGGACTCGTAAATGGTTCGTTTCCTTGCTTTATCACCTCCCAGTCGACTTTCAACTTTCCACCTCCTGTTAAATGATTTACAGACACTAACTGTACAAACGTTCTAAAAACACTCACACCATAGTAAAGTCCCGTAAACTTGATACCCCATAAGCCAGCAATTCAAGTTCACCCCCTTTCACCAAACCCTACATTAGTAATGATTAGGGGTGTGCTATGCAGCATATTTTTTTCGATTCGATGCATCGATGCGATTCAAAGAATTTCGATTCGAATCGATGCGATTCGATTCGATGCAGCACGGCATGATTTTCTTCAAAAATTAAATACAACATGTGTTTCTGTAATGGATCTTTTACCTTAAAAAAAGTTAAAGTAAAAAATTTACTAAATAAAATTATGAACAAGAGGATAGTTGCTGACCTAACCTCATTAATGGACACTGCTAATTTTATGGTTGGCCTAAGGAAATTCACCCTTCACTAACAATTAGAATAAGCCTATATATCAATAAAGCAATCGTTAAGTTTATTATTATTGACCTGTATTAAATAAAATAAGAGTTTATTTTATGACGTAGGTAGTATTGTTACTTAGTTTTCACATTTATATTTGTTGGCTTTCAATACTTCTGGTTCATTCTTAAATCAGCACGAACAAAAAAAGTTGATAATCGTTTACTGTCTATTTTAGTGATGGTCGGATCCGGATATCGGACTACCGGATCCCCGCCGGATCTGAGCTAGAACCGACGCCCGATCGTATCCACAAAAAATCTGATCTTGGGCTGGATCCGGTTTTAATGGATCCAATTTTATTTATACTATTAACACAAAATGGGCGAGTATTCGAGATTTTGAGTTCGAGTAAAGTACGGCCTCGAAACTCGAGCTTATCTTTGAACTCGCTAGTTTGGTATAAAATTGTAAAAGATCAATATTTGTTGAAATGTAACTTGTGTTTACATAAAATGATGGATAATTTGTATTACTGTAGATTCTACAGTCATACAAATATAGAAATAAGCAAGAGGTAGTTGTCCTAACCTATTTTTATAGCTATCACGACAGAATAGGTCAACTCAAAGCAGTCGCCGGCGACTGACTGGCAATGGCAATGGTATACTGACTTGACACAGAATAGAATGACATGACCGGTAGTGATTTTGTTTTAAAGTAGGCCTACTGTTTCACAATAGAAAATTTCACTACTGAACTGTTACGTAAGCAATAAATTTATGTTTATAAAAGTCAGAATAGAAACACTATAAAGGCAAAACAATAGAAGGGAGGCAGGCATTGTGCAATGGCCTCGAAATGAGCGGAATAGTAACATTGAGTAGGGGGGTGGAAGGGGGGAGAAGGGAAGGGTGAGACCTTTGAGCTATATTTAGACTAGACTTTCACCACTTCCCAAATGGCTGGGTACGGGGATTACAATAGCAGGTTTTTTCCTTGCCTGGTTTGACTTTTGTCTTTTTGTGTAGGAGATTTGAATAATCAAAAATATAATTTGAATTGACCACAATTATTTAGCATTGATAATACAATTTGCAAGGGACCAGGAGGAAATAGAACAAAACACTAAAATTAATAGAATAACACACAAAGTAAACAACAAATTAAATACAGAACACGGTGATTTAACACTGTCACTGTCACTCAATTTTGTTGTCTAGAAGGGTCGGTGAACTAATCAATAAATAGCCAAAACCAGTTTCCTCCCCCTCTAACCACCACCCCTCCCCCCCCTTAGATGGGAGGCCCAACACTTTGTCCTTGAAACACCCTGACCCTAGCCTCTGAAACAATAAACCCTTACACCTGCTTTGCTGTTTTGACAACAGGTTTATAAATGCGTTCACTATTTTTCATTTTCCAGAATTAACTATCAATTATTATTATTTGCAAGTTACAAATAGGAAACTACATGACATTATGGTATTCAATGACCCATGTATTATCAAAAATTTATAATTGATTACTTATTTTGATAATAAAAAGCATTCATTACAGCACGCAGCACTTATTGATATATATATATATATATATATATATATATATATACTGTGTATATAATCATCAAAGTATCTGTTACTTTATACAAAATAAAATAGGTACAAAATTGTGTGGCCAGTCAAACTTTATAAACAAACATTTTATTCTATAAAATACAGATGGTAAATAGGGGTTGGTTTAAAGTAAATAAAATACAAAACAGATTAATTAATTATTTTGATAAACGATAGAAAGGTTATGGGATTGATAGAACTAAAATAACCACAGGGAATCTTAAGTAGAAAAGTCGTCAACCACAATCTGTTTAATCAGTACATCACATCGTTAGAGAGAGAGGGGGGGGGGGGAGAGAGAGAGATAGCAGATAGGGGCGTTTGATAGGGAATCTTAAAAAGTAAACAAACAAGGAACAAAGACGCCACAATACTCGTTTATAACCTTATTGTCAAATCTAGGTCTTTGTAAGACAAAAGAAAATCACACCGTTTTAAACTTTAACCTAATTTTATACTCTTTACAAACAAACACGTCCTACATAACGGTTCTTGATATTTATCAATGTATCTTAGCAATCGTCACTTGCTCCATTGAAACACGAACGTCGATTGGCTGACATGACAGTGCAGCGTGGCCTCTCGACCAATGAGAACTCTTGTTACATACTAGGGATGGACGGGTCCCGAAATTTCGGGAATTTTTCGGGAAAAAAATATTCCCGATTATCGGGACGGGATTACATTTGACTCGGGAATTTTTCGGGACGGGATTTGGTCCGATCGTCGGCGATTTTTCCGCTTCGCGAGTGCCGATAACGCCGTTATTGCGAGCGATAGGTCCGCGAACGCAGGAGACGAAGTCATTTCGACGATTACGCCGTGACCGCGGAGTCCTACCGACGACCGCGCCGTGACCGCGAGTCATACCGACGATCGCGCCGTGACCGCGAGTCATACCGACGATCGCGCCGTGACCGCGAGTCATACCGACGATCGCGCCGTGACCGCGGAGTCCTACCGACGATCGCGCCGTGACCGCGAGTCATACCGACGATCACGCCGTGACCACGGAGTCCTACCGACGATCGCGCCGTGACCGCGGAGTCCTACCGACGATGGCGCCGTGACCGCGAGTCATACCGACGATAGCGTCGTGACCGCGAGTCATGACGACGATCGCGCCGTGACCGTGGAGTCATACCGACGATAACCCCGTGACAGCGAGTCATGCTGACGATCGCGCCGTGACCGTGGAGTCATACCGACGATAACCCCGTGACCGTGGAGGCATACTGACGATAACCCCGTGACCGCGAAGTCATACCGACGATCGCGCCGTGACCGCGAGTCATGACGACGATCGCGCCATGACCGTGAGTCATACAGACAATCACCTCGTGACCCGCGAGTCACAAGTTTCTATAGGTACCTGTAAATTGTTACCCATTTTTTGGTTTTTATAGATCAGTGCCACAAATGGTAAAAATTGATTTCGTATGTCTTTTTTGGTAACTGCAATACAGTACTTTCTTTTTATGCACAGAAAAAAATCCCGTCCCGAAAATCGGGAAGGAAATAAAAATCCCGTCCCGTCCCGTCCCGAACTAAAAATTCAATCCCGTCCATCCCTATTACATACTTTGATTTATCTTAGATGGTCAACATTTACCATTCATTATAATATTACAAAATCAACATGGACTATGCGTATGGTGTTTTTCAATCAAAACTTATGTTATAGTAGCACTTAAAACTTCACTTAAACTCTTAAACTAGGTTGGGTAGATAGTACAGATATAATATGGATCTACTTTTTGGTGCAATAGGCAAGTGCAAGCCTAACCCTCTGACTTCGATGTTGTAATTGAATAGAATTTTTCTAATGATGCGTAATGCAGGGATGAAACTGAACATTTAGACAAGTTTAGGTTATTTATTTTGTTCTAAAAATAAAAATAATACATTTAAAGGTCTGACTTATTGATACAGACATTTTTTAGTATAATTTCGTGTTGAGGACACTCGCGCGCCGGTTGTCTGAGACTGAATTCTGACATCTTGAAATGTAGATTGTATTGTGTTGTGCAATATCATCTGCCTGCAGAGAGAACAGCTGAAAATAAACTTTAGCTGTTTTGAACTAAATAGTGTGCTAAGTTGGTTAATAAAGTTGTTAGCGTGATTACAAAACTAATAGATATCAAATAAATAAATGTTAAAATAAAATATCTATCCATCCCTGTCGGCTGTCGGTATCGGCGGAATCGGGCGAAATCGATGTTTGGCAATCGATTCTTGATACCGATATTCCTTGTATCGGAAAATATCCGAGTATCGGTGGTAGCGATAATTGACACTTCCCTATCTAAAACTCATTTTGGAGTCCTAAATTAGTTTTTAATATACATCGGGACGTAATCGTTGCATCGGGAGTTAACCGATGCATCGGTCTTTTTCGATGCATCGAGGCCAAATCGATGCATCGTGATTTCGATGCATGCTGAATCGAATCGAAATTTCGATGCATTTCCGATGCATCGCACACCCCTAGTAATGATTACGACCCTGCATGTGGCCCTGATGGTGAACAAACTTTGTCGCTTTAAATATTTACACAGTACCCTTTCATTTGAACTTGGTGCTAATGTGCTTGCAGACATATCAATTGAGATGGAAACACCACCTCGGTGCATATTTTAATCCAAGCATGACATTGAGACCTTGACACATAGTTATGCATACCTGACGACAAAAGTGCTAGTCAGTTGCTTATCCAGTCAATATTTATCTTATTTTTGTCGTAAGACGACGTCCTAGGTACGAGCCTGGTTTTTTCACACTTCAGGCTAGACCAAAGAGTTGCGGTATTATCACTTAGATAAAATCCATTGGTGATTTGGTGGGATTTGAACCTGGGACCTCATGGACCGAAGCCCGTGCTCTAACCACTAGACCATGTCGCTCCCCGAAGTATGTACAATATACTTTTTTATAATAAAAAGAGGAAGCCATACATTTTACTAACACGATAAAATCATCTATTTTAATATCATGGGGTGTGAATGTAGACACAACCAATATGTGAGAAATAAAACATGTACTACATTAAAGTTTTCGTTTTAGAAATTCCAAAACTCTTATTGGAAGAAGCAAACAATTCTGTTTGTTAAAACATTTTTCAAAACTCATTTTAGCTTTTCGGAAATTTAATATTTTTCTATAATAGTACAGATAATGAAGTTTGAAATGGAGGAATTCTACACTCCTCCATCCTGAGCTATACAAATTAATCAGTAAGATATTGGTTTAGACCTCTCCTTCTTTTATTGTCTCACAGTTTCTCAGTGAAAAAACAAATTGTTAATTTAAACAAAATGATTGATATTATAACTCTGTTAGAAAATAAGATTGTTTGGCTTGAATGAGCAGGCTTTATTATACACAATTCACAAAGTCTAACAAATGAAAGAATTATTACAACAGTCAACATAAACAATTAACAATGTCCAACATCAGCTGGGAATATTTCGTACCACAAACTTGTAGCGTTTAACTTAACAGGTGAACAATAATCGCAAACAAACGTTAAGGAGGCTAGCGGCCATCATGGATGGTTTCAAACAGCTGCTGAAGAGTTATTTATCATCCAAAAATATTTTTTCAAACATCAAAGTGATTATAATTTAAATATATAGTAAACTGTGGGATATAAATGTTCTTCGTAGTTTAGAATTGTTTTTCAAGGGAGTCCATGGAAGCTAACGGCCATCTTGGATTTGCCCGCCATAAGAGAGATCTTAATTCCGTTAGTTTCTAACAGCCGCTGAAGAGTAATTTACCATCTCAAAATATTGTTTCAAACACCAGAGTGATTGTAGTTTAAATATGTAGTAAACTGTGAGATAAGAAATTGGCTTTGCAGTTTTTTTAATTGTTTTACAAGTTAGAAAATCTAGGCTCCAAAAACTCTCAATTTAAATTTTTCTTTCAAATGGATGACTTCTTACTTATTAATTAGTTACTTATTATTAGTGAAACTCTTCTGACCACATATTACGATTACTTACCAACTATCACTGGAGCAATCAGGTACGAATTTTCTTTGTTGCTGTAGTCTCTGATCAAGAAAGGATTGACTGTGCGACAAATTTTATCAAACACGATGCCATGAAATATGGAGATCTTGGCCAGCTCGGAATCTGTGAAGCTGTGGATCTCTCCTTCCAGAATGTTGATTTCTAACTCTCCAGTGCTGGTGTAGAGAGGGAATGGTGCCAACTGTCAATGCAAAACTGTACATATATAAAAAAAAACCAAAAAAAAAAAACCAGTATAGCCTATTATTCCACATTATCTCAATTTTCTTCCTTTTTAGCAAATTTCCCATATAGGGAATAAGCTATTACCGTAGTACTCATGGTAAGACCTGGACCCGGGACCGATTTTTTTTCGTTTTGAGGTCCCTAGAGGCCAAAAACACCATCCGTTCAAATTCATATATATATATATATTTATATATGAGTCCGTTAGCGCGATAACTCGAGCAAAAACGATCCGATTTTGATGAAATTTGGTACAAATGTGTAAACCTACGTTTATTCTAACGAGTTTGCGAACCAGCATGATCGGACCATGGGAACGGGGGTTTATGGGGGGTTTTATGGGGTAAAAATGGGTTTTTCCCACTTTTGACTCAAAAAACATAAAATTTTGCAATTTCTTTCCAAACTATTTTGTAGAGCTTAAAAAAACAAATAATTTAGTATATTGAAGCGTTATAATGCACCTAATGGTTACGGAGAAAATTCCAAAAAATTGTAAATTTAAAATTCCCATGTTATTCTTATGGAGAATAAGTAAACTGTTGTAGTTTGCTTGTTTATTAACATTTTTTGCCCAAATTTGGAAAATGTTTTTATTTCTTACTAACTATTAACATTTTACATAAAAAACACTTTTACCCTCCCTGTTGCAGCAAACCTAAGTATGTGTTAAACTGATTCTATTTAAATAGGGAATAAATGTTGATATTTTTAAGGAGACATTTTAGTGTAAATCCAATCAGGCAAATGGAAATTCGCTTAGTCTGCAGGTTTGCTGCGGCGGGGGTATATTTTACCTTTAGGTCATATCAACATTTCATTAGGCCTAGTTAAATTGACACTCTGTTAACTAACGCAATCCTCGCCTTAAACCATTCCCTGAATGTCCATCAACTGACCCAACCAAAATAGTCACAAATTATTAGTTCAGCTAACTTTCCTTGATCTACCTTGTAACGTCTAATTTCCACTTCAGTTTGGCTTAATTAAGACTGATCATCTTAATCAATTAATTATTTCGGGAGGAAGCGCGCGCCTGCCTGGCCGATAATATGGAAACACAGATGTAACACGGATTGCCTAGCTTGCATTGAAGGTGCCCAGAAATGTCTAAAAAGGACCCTAGTTAGCTGTTGAACCAAGTCAGTTGAAGCACTAGGCTGCCGTGCCTGCTCATTCAGGCCTAGAGTACAAGGGTCAAAATCTGAGCTGACTCACTCACAGAGACCAGGACAACGTTAGAAGGAAGTGTTTGGACATCTTGGCTGCTGAAGACCCTCTGCTCTATTTTGAGGATTATTTGCATTTTGCGAAGAGGTAAGGCAGATGAAATAATTAAAAGTTTTACTAGCACCATTTTGTCTTTGGGGAAAATCGAATTTAATTAGCTAAATAAATACATTTGAATATTTTAGTGTTAACAAAATGTTAACTTTGTGAATATTCCTGCTTGGTCCCAGATAACATTTGTATTAATTAAGTATTTTTGTCTTTATATTAATAATGGTTTACAAATTTTGAAAGCCTAGTTTCACACAGCTGTTTTAATATGTAAAGTGATGATTATTTAACCTGTAAATTTGTCTTAAATGTTCTTTGTTTCATACGTTATTTCCTGTATTCATGTAGATATTCAGTTTTATTCTTGCAAGGAAAACATGTGCTCAACAATTTTCAATATGTATTTTGGATTAATTTTCCCTGATGATAATTGACATTTTGTGTAAAATTGTGTTTTCTGTAAAATCATTTTAATTGTGTAAATTTGTTGGTAATTAGATTCTTTAACAGCTGTAGTGAATAAAATAACTTCTTGTTTTTATAAAATAATTTTATGTTTGCTAAAATGTTTTAATTTGACTCTCAAATGATTTTTCCACGGTTTAACAGTGTATATTTGACCTTAAACAAACAGTATAGTATACCTAAATGCATTTCTTTTATCAGTCAAATATACTGGATATTTATCTACACTGTAAAATGCATAAATAGCTCAAGACTGTTTATTAATTAATTAATCTTAATGTTGTCCCTATCTTGAGTATTTTGTTTAATCTGTTTTATTAATATTATACCCAGGTAATTGCTTTATTTTATACATGCCATTATCAACTGCAAATTAATTTGAACTGGAATTAGTGTAAAAGTTAAGGGGCTATGTATGAGTGTATTATGTTCAAGATAATTAACTGTCTACTGTCTTAGGTCTTGTTATCAATCATGATTATTTCTGTATAGCAATTCTTTTAATAATGAACTAGTCACAACTGTGTCTTCCTGGAATAGTTGGATAATTTTCAATCATTTAAATATTAACTAGTTTTCTCAACTGAAATTAGTAATTAACTGACTGTTAGTAGATTATAAATTAATTTTGAATATTTGCGGATTGTTTAACTGTTGTGGTAGGCTATATTGTGTTATCCACAGACCAAGTAGAAACTTTTGCTTAGAGGCCATACTATTTATGATGGAATTTTGTAGGGTTTTATCCCTGGGCCTTCCAGACACTACTTATCACCTGACCTCACTGCATATCTGGGTCCACTACCATACTACCTGGCTACTACTTCACCCTGGTGTCGTGATCTCAGCCAACCTGTACTTAAGGACTGCGGACCTACCGACAAGCCTTCAACCGATAAGTCCCTAGATTGTACATTATCTCACTTTTGGGAATTATAGACTTGTATATATTCTTTGCTATTCAGTGTGGCTCTACAGGACTTGGATTAACTCTGAGAACATTAGTGTGTGATTGAGTCAGTGCTACTGAACCATCGACTCCATCGTCATAATATTATTTTCATGCTTAGTATTCATGTCTGTATATTGTATGTGTGTATATATTTCAGGGTAAATCTGTATTATTATCGTTCTAAGTTCTTTTGGTGGCCGCCAGTTACTGATTTCTGATATTTGGTATTGATATTCATATATATATATTTGTTTAGAATAAAAGAACTATATCACCATAGATTGTAATTGTTTGCGTTACCCACATCAATTTTGAGACAAAGGAATTTAATTGCTATATTTTGCTCAGCTTATCATTAAATTTATCAGATCAGTAAGAGTAATACTATTAATTTGCACTTTATGAATTTCTGATCTTTACATTATAATAAAGTAAACTCATTACCTCATCAATTGCTCAGATTTCTTGATTTATAGTGCACAGTAGCTTAACTTATAAATATTTTCTCCTAGTGATCTTTTGTCTGACTGTTATTTCAATATAAATTTGTTGTTGTTGTGTCATATTTATACAAGGTATTGATGATTGTTGATCTGTACTTGGGTTCAGGCAGGAATTGAGAAATTAAAAAAATAATTAAGTTTTCAAATACCATCTGCCTTACAAGTGAGGTACCACGGATTGGGAGGAACAGGTTCCTTGTTGCTGTTTTTCATAAATGAGTTCCTGAAAACAAGGTGGCGCCCTGAAGTCGGACATTTAAGCCAACCTCCAGTGAAGGTAGATTGGAATTAAGAAATTTTGAATTTTAGCTAGACCATAGTTAAGACCCACCCCCTTCTCCACTGAAATTAGCCAGGAAATTTAAGTAACAGAATTTGGAACGTTACAAAATGGCGCTCTGAACGTGGGGCTTGATTTCTGTGAGGAATCTAGGAAGGTTTAAGAATATTTAGAAGATTGAGGTTTTGATACAAGAAACCTGCTGTTTGTTGTATTCTGTTCCAGAATTTTGTACATAATTGGTCCACGTTTTAGTAGTCTAAGGATTTGTTGTTGTTTAATATTTATTTGTACATTTGTTTCTGGCTCATACCCTTGATTTGTTTTGTGAGGCAACTGATCAACTTCAACTCCTAAGTATGTCTGCTAATCATCTAAGAAAGGATGAGGTGGCCTATGAGCTTCGGATTAGAGGGGTTGATTTTGCTGGTACAGCTGATGAACTCAGAAAACGTCTCAATCAGTCTACCAATACCTTAGTTAAGGAAACTGTTGTCAATCAACTTGATGTAGATGAGGAACTTGAGAAGTGTAAGGAGAAGTATGAGGATATTGTCTCATTAGTGGACGAGTATGATGGTAAGGGTAAGGACTCTGAATACCAACGCATATCTGCGAGGTTGTATCATCTCTACAGGAGAATTGAGAGGATCCCAATTGGAACATCATCAGATCAGGAAGTGATTTCAAGGAAAACGGAATTGCTTGAAAATACAAAGAAGGTTAGAGGGAATTTTAAAGATATCAAGGGTTCTTCAGATGATCAGACTACAAGCCAAGGAGATGGACAGACCAAGCAGGTTGCTACTGTAGAGGAAACTACTCCGAGTGATAAAACTGATGTTTGTGACATGGAAAATTCCCGAAGCGATTCTGTTGTGAAAGAAACTGTTCCTTTGACCAAGCCTCAGCAAAACAAGAAAACTTTTACACAAAATCTGATGGCCAGGAAGTCAGTGCCCGTATATAAATGGGGAGTCAAGTTCAACAATGAACACAAGCAGAGTATTGGGTCATTTCTTGAAAGAGTAGAGGAGTTGAGAAGAGCTCGAGGAGTTAGTGAGGAAGAACTATTCGAGTCAGCTGTCGACTTGTTTGAGGGACCAGCTCTGATTTGGTATCGGTCTACTACAGATAGGATCACCTCGTGGAAAGCTTTATGTAAAGAGTTAAAGACAGTCTTTCAAGCACCAGATTATGAGTTTAGGCTTCAGCAAGAGATATTTAGTCGGATGCAAGGCGATCAGGAACCGATTGATGTGTTCATTGCTGCCATGGAAGGGCTATACTCAAGACTATCTGAAAACATTCCAGAAGTAGTAAGACTAAAACAAATTTACAACAATCTCCATCCTCAGCTTCAAGACAGACTGGCTATGTTCGATATTAAAAGTATAGAAGAACTTAGATTCATGGGAAGGAAAGCGGAAGCAGGGCGCTTGAGGTCGTCATTACCTAGAACATTTCCAGGAGTA